TTACCCCCTATGCAACTTTAGTAGACTCTCCCATGCATCAATCTGGGTGAGTCCATCATGGTCTACAGTGGTGAAAGGGTTAAAAAAACGCAGTTGGGTGGGGATAGGGAATTTTTACTTTATAGTATATAGTAACTGTCTAAACCTTCACCAGTATTACCACCTGTTATATATACTGATCTCCCACTAATTAACCAGGTTAATCACACCCGACATTGACAGCACTGTCCCTGACCAAGTTTAAATAGCTCGACTTAGATAGCACTGGATAATAGCTCTACGTATACAGGTTACCACCTATCATAGGTGAGAACTAGCTGTCTCCCAGATAGAAGTTGTCTTTGTATCTGCACTATCCCAAATAGCACTGTCCCTGGATAAGTATTGTTTCCAGAACATTAATGTCCCTAGAGCAGTGCTGTTCCAGAATTAGATTAGTTTCTCGATACCTGCACTATCCTTTGGACTAGAAATGTTCCTTGATTGATGTTGTTCCTGGAATGGTGGTGTTCCCAGATTAGCATTATCCTTTGATTACCCGGTATTGCTATTCCCAGATTAGCACTATCCTTGGATAAGTGATGTAATCTCAGATAAGCAATGTCACAAGGCCAACATTGTTACTAGATTAGCACTGTCTCCAGCACTTGCCCTAGACTAACACTGTTCTTGGATTAATTCTGTTCCCAGATTAGCACTGTCTCCAGCACTTGCTTTAGACTAGCACTGTTCTTGGATTAATTCTGTTCCCAGATTAGCACTTACTGCAGTACTTGCCCTGGATTAGCACACTACTTAGGTATATTGGAGGAGTGTGATGGGTACTAACCTAACATAGAGACATGGATGACTTGGACCTAGTTGTATATTATACACATTCCTGTGTCATTACCGTGTGTGCGAATGTGTCCGTGTTTTAATTGTAGGTAAGAGCTACACCACAATGCAGTGATTTATATTCCCTCCTCAAATTAAACACCACACTATAAATAATGAGTGAGTCATCTCATACCTATTGCCTTTTTATTTTTTAATTCATTTTCTCCAAAATCATTTTCATTTTCTGGGTAAACCTGCACAAGTACATGTACATGAGTCATAGGAAAGTCCTATAAAGTATTTGATGTGTTTTTGCTTGCTTAACAATCAGCATTTGGAGGGGTTTTATGTATGGTGTTGAAAAGGTGCAACCCACACACATCACCTAAAATAACAGAAATAATGTGTCCTTTATAGACAGGTGGTCTTTATACAGAAGACAGGGATAGGTCCTAGAGAACCACAGGGACACATACTACCTCCATAACTAGCCGACTGGCTACAACGTTACTTACCATATTTGCTGAAATTAGCTCCCCTCCCCTTTTTCAGCACTTCTTAAAGGATTTAAGTTCCCCCTCTCCTAAACGGTCTCCATTCTGGCCCTCTCTGGTCACCGAAACATATCAATATTTATACTTTATGTCAGATACTACAGTCTGAAAATCTGAAGAATTTTCCTGTATTTTTGATAAGTTAAGTGAGAACAATTTTGGAATCCTCCCTGAGAATGTCTGAGGGTTGTGTCGCCATTACAGCAACCCACACAACCTATGTTTTGTTATCTTAATAAGCATGTCTGTCATTTGGTCAATTTGTCCAGTCCCCTGGGTTCTAATTACGCCAAATATGGTGCAAAAATCTGATAGGGGGGAATGTTTCCTAATAACCTACCTGTGCATGGAGGACAATACATTAAAGTGAAACTAGTGAAGTTAGTCACACATCATGGGTTTCAATGCCACTTAGTTTTTCTTCCACAAAATGCTCGTTTTTTTCTGTTGTAAACTACACAGGTAATTATTTCAGGTGTGAATTGTCTTTGAAGTTTGATTGTATCATAGATATTGTGTTACCTGTGACAACTTTGTTACGGAGTTTGTCTGTGAAATATCTAGGGGACCCAGCTAGCAGGGGTCCATCTTGATAGGAGGAGGGTTGATGCCTTTAGAAATCAATACCTACTTCACATTCAATTCAGGTAGGCTGTGAGCTCTAATGCATAGAGAGTTACAGCAAGAAGGCATTCACAGACCATGTTTCATCGAAACCTGTTTCTTGTTTGTCTGAGTTAAAGTAACAAGCAGGTTCGCCATTCACTCTGCAATCAAATCTTTCAAACATGGAAATTATATATATTTCTGTATGTTTTGTTCAATTTTAACCTTCAAACATACAGAATAGTTACTTTTCCTTATGTTTTGTACAATTTTAACCTTCAAAGTGGAGAATATGTGCCTGTATTCTATGATAGTAGCATTCAAACATGGTGAATATAAACACCTAATCTACTATTTGGACATGATGAATAATGAATGTATATCTGTATCATTCAAACATGGTGAATAATGAATGTATATCTGTATCATTCAAACATGGTGAATAATGAATGTATATCTGTATCATTCAAACATGGTGATTAAGGACATTGTCCTTGACAGAACACCAGCCCATATACCAATAAAAATATTCTTTATAGGGAGATTCTACTGTTTTAAAATTAGAACCGTTAAATACACTGGATATGTATTTACCCCACTGTGCATATATATCTGTATACATTACCTTTATATATAACACAGAGCTCCTCTAAACAATGAGTATATATATATATTCATTGTTTAGAGGAGCTCTGTGTTAAGATATATATGTGCCATGTCTGACGTTAAAAATGATACAGAGTATATATATATATCTGTATATATTACCTTTATATATAACACAGAGCTCCTCTAAACAATGGATATATATATATACTCTGTATCATTTTAAATGTCAGACATGTTACATATATATCTGTATATATTACCTTTATATATAACACAGAGCTCCTCTAAACAATGAATATATGTATACATTACCTTTATATATAACACAGAGCTCCTCTAAACAATGGATATATCTATACATTACCTTTATATATAACACAGAGCTCCTCTAAACAATGAATATATCTATACATTACCTTTATATATAACACAGAGCTCCTCTAAACAATGAATATATATATATACTCTGTATCATTTTTAACGTCAGACATGTTACATATATATCTGTATACATTACCTTTATATATAACACAGAGCTCCTCTAAACAATGAATATATATATACACTCTGTATCATTTTTAACGTCAGACATGTTACATATATATCTGTATACATTACCTTTATATATAACACAGAGCTCCTCTAAACAATGAATATATATATACACTCTGTATCATTTTTAACGTCAGACATGTTACATATATATCTGTATACATTACCTTTATATATAACACAGAGCTCCTCTAAACAATGAATATATATATACACTCTGTATCATTTTTAACGTCAGACATGTTACATATATATCTGTATATATTACCTTTATATATAACACAGAGCTCCTCTAAACAATGAATATATATATATACTCTGTATCATTTTTAACGTCAGACATGTTACATATATATCTGTATACATTACCTTTATATATAACACAGAGCTCCTCTAAACAATGAATATATATATACACTCTGTATCATTTTTAACGTCAGACATGTTACATATATATCTGTATATATTACCTTTATATATAACACAGAGCTCCTCTAAACAATGAATATATATATATACTCTGTATCATTTTTAACGTCAGACATGTTACATATATATCTGTATACATTACCTTTATATATAACACAGAGCTCCTCTAAACAATGGATACGTATATATATATACTCTGTATCATTTTTAACGTCAGACATGTTACATATATATCTGTATACATTACCTTTATATATAACACACAGCTCCTCTAAACAATGGATACGTATATATATATACTCTGTATCATTTTTAAAGTCAGACATGTTACATATATATCTGTATATATTACCTTTATCTATAACACAGAGCTCCTCTAAACAATGAATATATCTATACATTACCTTTATATATAACACAGAGCTCCTCTAAACAATGAATATATACATATACTCTGTATCATTTTTAACGTCAGACATGTTACATATATATCTGTATATATTACCTTTATATATAACACAGAGCTCCTCTAAACTATGAATATATATATATATTCTGTATCATTTTTAACGTCGGACATGTTACATATATATCTGTATATATTACCTTTATATCTTTTACACAACAGATATACATTTTGTTGTAGAGGACGTCCTAAATTTAGAACTCAAAACCATAAATTGAAAAAAGTCATAAATGTGAATGAGATTGGTGCTTGAGATTTTTATTGCATTTATGGATTTTATTGTGCAGGGAGACCACATGCATGGTCGTTGTTTATTTATGTCTTAACTTTCCTGTTAAACTTCCCGGCTGTGGTGCAGGAGAGTTAGGTATGTGGGACAGCACATGTCTGTTTGATGTGCACCCTTAAGCTGCATATTCTTTATGACAACACCAGATAACCTGTCGCCACATTCCAAACTTGATATCTACGTTTTCATTCAAGGGGTTCAGGGGTCTATGCCACAGGAGATGATTGATTTCTAAGAGATTGCTGGAGTATCTAGGACAAGTGGATAATATATCTCTCTCTTTTTGTACGTGTGTTATACTTGTAGAATTGCTTATGTCACTATAATGAATGTTTGGTTTATTCTCAGGTGTCACTTTAACAGTTAGTTGTAGAGGGTACAGTGTGGGCCGCAAATAAACAGTGTGTGCCGCAAATAAATGTCAGCAAAATAAAACTGTGCTAATTGATGGGAGGGTCGGTCTCTCCTTAAAGATGTTAAATCAGGAATTTTTCATGTAAAGGGAGGTAACTCTTAGAAAAAAAATCAGTACAAAATATATTTATTTTTTTATTTTAACTTGGTAAACTTTCAGAGAAAAAACAAAACTTCCAAAAAATAGAATAAAAGGATGGTTGTGTCAGTATTATGTGTTTCTACATGTTTGGATGATTTGGGCAATAAATTTGATTCACAGGTTTACCATGTGGCCTATGTAATAGTGAAGGCAGCTAACTCTCCCCGACCTGGAAACTGGATTTTGGAGAAGTCAGTGGACGGGATACACTTCACACCATGGCAGTACTTCGCCAGGTCCAACAAGGAGTGTTACAGGGTGTACGGTATCAGGGCTACCCGGGGACGACCTCGGTACGAGAGGGACGACCAGGTCATATGTACCACCTTCTACTCCAAACTGGTACCCCTGGAAAATGGAGAGGTACAAGATGTGTTGATAATGCATGATAGTGTAAGGCAAAGTCTGTCTATTATATGAAATATATTGTGCTCTAACCCAAATATAATGCAATCTTAATCAGCCAAGTGATCTTAATCAAACATATGATGTGAACTAACTAAAAGTTAATGTGATCTTAACCTGAATAACACATAATGTGATTTTTATCAAAACATTAAGTGATATTAACCGGAAAAAAATATGTGACTCAAAATGATGTGACCCAAACCTAGACATAATGTGATATTAATCCCGACATAATTTGACCTTAATCCAAACACTTTTACTTTATGTCAACAATTGACATTTTGCCTTTATTCTGTACTACCTCCTGAATGGTACCATGTTCAGATATCATAATGATAACAGTTACATCGCAGAAATGTACATCTAAACAAACCTTAGGAGGAAACTACAATTGGCTAGCATGCAAATTTTCCTGTAAGAACATTATCAAACATTTGTTTGAGAGGTTTGGCCCTGAATTTAAGTATGATTGTTTGTTGTGGACAGGTGATTGTGTCGCTGGTGAATGGTAGACCTGGGATAGAAAATCCGAGTCGAACACTGCTGGTGAGTGATGTAATCAGAGGTAGACAATCCTATCTTCAATAAGAATCATCAGTTTGGAAATATGTAATATCAAAGTTTTACATTATACACAAAAAAAATATGTATTAAACGTGTCGCGATGTTTCAAGACTGACTGGTCTCTTTGTCAAGCTATGACTGTGAATAAACCTGTTGCAACATTTCAAGACCGACTGGTCCCTTTGTCAAGGTATGACTGAGTCATAGCTTGACAAAGGTACCAGTCGGTCTTGACGCATTGCAAAACGTTTAATATGTACATTGTTTGTGTTTAAAGTAAATTTAGTAGACAAGTAGAGAACCCTTGTGGAACTATTGGTTAATGATAAAATCAAGGGTAGACAACCCTCTTCAAACACTGTCTGTGAGTGATAAAGTCCGGGGTAAACAACCCACATCAAACACTGTTGGTGGGTGATATAGTCAGGGGTAGACAACCCTTGTCAAACACTGTTGGTGAGTGATATAGTCAGGGGTAGACATCCCATGTCAAACACTGTTGGTGGGTGATATAGTCAGGGGTAGACAACCCTTGTCAAACACTGTTGGTGAGTGATATAGTCAGGGGTAAACAACCCACATCAAACACTGTTGGTGAGTGATATAGTCAGGGGTAGACAACCCATGTCAAACACTGTTGGTGAGTGGTATAGTCAGGGGTAGACAACCAAGGTCAAACACTGTTGGTGAGTGATATAGTCAGGGGTAAACAACCCATGTCAAACACTGTTGGTGAGTGATATAGTCAGGGGTAGACAACCCATGTCAAACACTGTTAGTGAGTGGTATAGACAGGGGTAGACTACCCATGTCAAACACTGTTAGTGAGTGGTATAGTCAGGGGTAGACAACCCATGTCAAACCCTGTTGGTGAGTGATATAGTCAGGGGTAGACAACCCATGTCAAACCCTGTTGGTAAGTTGAATTGTCAAAGGAAGACAACTCTAGTCATACTCGTACTTAGTCTGGGGTTTATTACTTTATTTAAACACTGTTTATGATAGATTCAGTGAAAGACAACCTTAGACAATCTCTATTTGTGATATTCCCAGGAACAGAAAACTCTAGTCAAACACTGTTGGTGATATAGTCAGGGGTAGACAACCCATGGCTCTAGTCAAACACTGTTGGTGATATAGTCAGGGGTAGACAGCCCATGACTCTAGTCAAACACTGTTGGTGATAAAGTCAGGGGTAGACAACCCATGACTCTAGTCAAACACTGTTGGTGATATAGTCAGGGGTAAACAACCCATGACTCTAGTCAAACACTGTTGGTGATATAGTCAGTGAATTCTTTATCATATCTGATTCCAAAAACTACTTTATTTTCTTCTTAAAAAGATGTAAATATAAAAAGATGAATTATTTGATATCAGTTGTAATAATCTAGTATACACATAACAGTTTAGTGGTTTTAACTAATAGTTTTTGGAAAATTGATTTTTAAATTTTTAGCAAGTTCTCAGGTTTATCGATTCAAGATAAGGGATTTTGATAAGCGTGTTCAAAGAGCAATTGGAATATTTACATTAATTATAAAATGATAATTAAAAGTTATATAAAAATGTTGATTTCCTTACAACAGGACTTTCTGTCAGCTAGATATGTGCGGTTACGCCTTCAGAGGATTTTGACCTTGAACGCAGATCTGATGACCTTCAGGTTCAGTGACCCTAAATACCTTGACCCGTCAGTGACACGGCGGGTGAGTATTATCCTGGTCTCATCAACTTTCAGACTTATTATACAATAATTATAATGGTAGTGACAAAAGAAACAAGAGCTTGTAAAGTTTCAATTGCATATTGAATTTCAATATAATTATATTGATGAAATAAAAGGCTATTAAAGTCTTAATTTTAACCCAAATTGCAATCTTTTTGTATTGACAAATATTTATTATCTTGACCTATTTTCGTTGTTGCAGTATTTCTATTCTATAAAAGACATCTCCATTAGTGGCCAGTGTATATGTTATGGTCATGCCTCAAGATGTCTCACCATCAGAAGTACAGATGTAAGTATATCAAATATACATACATACCTTGCCTTATGTACTGGCCAGGTAAGGACTGCCTTGTCTTTCTTTGTAGTTTCACAGAGAAATATTGACTTTTTTAGGACAAGATTCTTTTGAGGCATCTTATTCTAGTTTATGCTTGTACAACAGTAAAACCTATCTAAACCGACCCCTAGATAAACTGTCATAGTCAACAAACATAATCCCATTTCTTAAAAAAAAAATATTAAGGTATAATCAGACTACTTCAAGACATTTCCAAATTTATCTCCTTCCTGATCATCAATAAAAAAATATAGATGATTGAAATATTCAAATTTTGTGATTGGCAGCTTGTTTGTTGCAACATGCAATTTTACTGGCTGCGGTTTGATACTTTATGGGATATGGTTGTCCACTTGTTTTTTACAGAGACTTCGCTGTGACTGTAGCCACAATACGTGTGGTAATAACTGTGAGAAATGCTGTCCCAGACATAACCAGAAACCATGGCGACGAGGGTTTAACGGGGATGCAGCTCCTTGTGAAGGTATCTAACAATGTTTTTTCCTCATAGAACATAGTATACTGTTTTGATAAGTATGCTTTTCCATATTTACATAATTTTGGCATTTTGATGTACGTTGATGTTTATTTTATCCTGACACTTAACGAACAGGAAAACTCAAAATAAAATATTGATGTGGATTCACATTCTCTGAAAACAAAACAGATTTATCTGTTTGCGTCTGGTTTTTACACAACTTGTTTCCCATTGACTCGTTAACTGTTACCAACAGAAGGCAATATATTTAAGCATTGAACTAAAAGTAGTTCAATGCCTATACTTACCATTTTTTGGAATCTGTTTTTGTCATAAACAATTCAATTACACTTATTATTATTCAGCATCTAGTTCAAATGATGTATGTATTGTGTATGCTTGTTAAATGAATAAAACAGCCATTACCCAAGGAGGGTCAGTGGTATTGAATGTAACAATTATGACGTCAACAATAGGTCCATGGCATTCATAGCCTGTATGAATGCCTGTTTGAATGCCTATATGAATGCCTGTTTGAACGCCTATATGAATGCCAACTAAATTTAGTAGGGTTATACAGTGGCAATGCCATACGATGGTAAATATATAAAAAAAACGTTCTTCTGCTCCCTGGTAAAAGGGATGACAAACATTACGTCAATTCCTCCACCCTTTAGTATTACAAGGAACATAGTTGTTTTACATGTATTATAACACTACTTGATCACTCTTCCTCTTTTAGCTTGTAACTGCCATCGCCATGCCGATGAGTGTGTTTATAACAGTACCGTGGCGGAACAGGGTCTCAGTCTGAATATACGTGGCGAGTACGATGGTGGAGGGGTGTGTCTCAACTGTAGGGTATGTACAATGTGAACAGTTGTCACAGAAACAATATACAGTTGTTGACTCGGGCTGTGGACTAAAGGTGTTTTGTTGGACTAAAAGACCACACTTTTGACAGACCCATTTTCTTATAAAATGTACTCTTATCATTTTGTACTGGATAATTCAAATAATATTTTAAACTTAAAAACTTAAGTGATATTGCAGCCATGATATCTGACCAGAGGTAGAATCATTCTTCTATGTATTTTTTTGTTATATTTGAAAACAAATGCCAAGTTGTTGAAGCCGTCATTGTTACTACCCATTAAATCAAATGCCATGACTATAAAGATAACGATTATCCTATGGCAAAATCAAAAACTGTATTATAACCTAAAGATTTATATTGTATATCTGTGTGCATTCTTTGACCTGATCACTGTTACCAGGACAACACTGCAGGAGTGAACTGTGAAAGATGCCGGGACGGGTACTACCGCCCTGCAGGCGTACCAGCCACCAGTTCCCGCCCATGTCGTCGCTGTAACTGTCGAGAGTCCCGAGGGTCCACCAGTCGCTGTGTGCCGGATGACTCAAGGATCGGAGAGGGCCTGGTAAGTCATGCTCAGCAGGAACAGATAAAGTGGGTAAAAAGAATCTTAATATTTTCTCTTTGATTCACGTTAAATCTGATACTACAATTGTAGTTCAAATATTTCTTTTTCGTAAAATTTTCATATTTACACTCACTGAAGGAAATATTTTGCAATTAAGATGTTTTCTTTATAAATACTCAAATGTTGTCAGTCTTTGTACAGAAATTTTGATGAAGAAGATGTTATGTATTTTAAACTTTTTGCACTTTTTCTCACATTCATCCTTTAGATCCCAGGTCATTGTGTGTGTAAACCTGGATATGGAGGTCGTAACTGTGACGACTGTGCACTGGGTTACTATGGTTACCCTAACTGTGAACCATGTCCATGTAACTCTAAGGGGACAGTAGACGCTACCCAGTGTGATGGATCCTGTGTGTGTAAGGTATGTGCAAGGTCACACCCTCAAGGTTGTCGTCAAGGACTCATCCTCTGGCTGTATAGGTTTGGTTTGCCAACCCTCCATTCATTCTTGCGTTTAGCAGAAATGTTAATCAGTTTGTATAACCAGGTACATTGTACGCTCAAACTTTAACAGTTTCAGTTCTGATCTTCGGTGATTCTACTAATTCTACTTTCCTCACACATTTTCGTTTGATACAGTGACAAATATAAGATAACCTGTTACTTATTTGTGATGTGTGTTTCAGAGTAATGTGGAGGATCGTAACTGTGATAGCTGTAAGCCTGGCTACTTCAACCTACAGCATGCCAATCCTGATGGCTGTACTGAATGTTTCTGTTTTGGAGTTAGCTTCTCCTGTTCCTGTTCAGGCCTGGGACTACAGGAGGTATGGAACAATGCTCATGAGAACATATCACAGGAAATTCTTTCTGTTATTAATATCAGTGGTGTGTGAAATAAGCAAATTGTAATACATTACATTTCACAGAATTATATAAGAGTAAGCCAAATTCTGTAGTGTGTCTAAACATTAAGAAAAAAAAAATTGTGGAAGAATATGTATAAATTGTATAAAATAGTTATGTTGTTGTGTAACACTGCTATATGTTTCATATAGGGCAAAATGAGTTACTTCTTCCTGTATTCTGTTGTATACTATCTGTTCGGATAATTTGGTGTGCTAGCTGTTGGTGATTGATATATTGGGATATGTGTCAAGATTTTCTAACATAAAAAGTGTCAAATGTATCAGATATAATCCCTACTTAGCATGAGCATCATGGACTTGAATGTTCCAATCCACCAAAACTGCCCAATATATGGGATCCCATTCTATTGTGATTGTATATCACTACAGATCTGTGACATGAGGGATGGAATGAAGGGTTGGACTATCACAACACTAGACAGATCTAAGGGCTTCACACTTTTCTCTAAAACCAATGATGAAGGTTGGCTGGAGCATCGCTCCTTCCCCTCCCGCAGTCAGAACTCCCTCAACGCCATGGACAGCCAGCAAATCTACTACTGGGAGGCTCCAGTCAGTTACCTTGGCAACCGGGTAAGTGGGTGGTTAGTTCTAGCACTAACATCTAAAGTTCAAACCTTGATATTATTATACTTTGGAATTCTTCTGCTTTTGGGGATGGGGTTTTACAATCAATTAAAGTATCAAGATACTTCAAGACTTAAGACTTTTGACTTCTAATCTTGTTGAGAAAACAAAAATATGAGTTAATTATGAAAGAAGATTGTTTAGTGTATTCAATTATTTGGCGATTACTAAATATGTTTGTTAATTAAAAAAATGTTTTACAGCTGAGCTCCTACGGAGGAATGTTGTCCTATACCACCAGATACACACTGGACAACGTGGCTCGTGTACAGCGACATATATACGACATTGACATCATCATCCAGGTAACATAGGGCATCTTAGTAACCATAAACAGTTACAAATAGATACAAAAAGATAACAATAAACAAACTATGTTGAATATTAAAGAGTTGTGCAATTCAAAAATTACCCTGAAAATTATTTGTATGGTGCACATAATTTGTGAACAATAACTTTACCATGGAATTAATTTTGGAGGTATATAGTTCCTGGAGAGCACTGAGTTTACCTTATATTTAACCTTGGATCTGAATGGCTTTTAAATGATTAGTTGGCATTATCTTCAGAGTGGGAACCTGACGATCAGCCCGGGGAGGAACTACCTGCGTGAAGATACTGAGAAGATGGTGCGAATCCCTCTAATTGAGAAGGACTGGTTTCTCTTCACCGACACAGGGCTTTACTCCACATCCATGATACCTGTTACACGACGTCAGTTCATGGAGATCCTGTACCGTGTAGATCGCATCCTGATCAGGGCCACCTACCACTCTGCTCAGGACACTGTCTTGTGAGTCCACAGATACGCTCTCCTCATAGCCTGTTAAAATTCTTCTTTAAGCATTGCTGTGACAAAACGGAGATTGGCAACATAGATGCTTCTGTATTGTTATCTCCGGTATAAAAATTGCATCAAAGTTCTGATTCATTTATTTTTTATATTTTTATATAATTATAATTAATATTTTTGATGTTTCAGCCTTAAGAATGTGATATTAGAGAGTGTGAGTGACAGCTCACAGAGCCCATTGTCCCTCCCTAGTGTGGAGATGTGTAACTGTCCCCCTGGCTATGCTGGACTCTCCTGTGAGGTAAGGACAAGGTCATTGTTCCATCACTGTATTGGAAACAAATTTGTTTGATAACGCTATCCTCAGACTCTTTTTATAACGTCAGACAGTATCATGGACCAAGATGTTCTGTGGAATATTTTAAGACATTTTGTTTTTTGGATCCAATCTTTCATGATCAATTGTTACAGAGGTGTGCCCCTGGGTACAGAAGATTGAACGGCCAGCTGTACGGAGGGATCTGTGAGGGGTGTGATTGTAACGGCCATGCTGACACATGTGACCTGGTCACTGGCAGGTGTACGGTATGTATAACAGCCTGCACTATCTTTTGTATAATTAACTCTAATGCAATATTCATATGGATTTTCATGTACCAGAGAAGATACATCTATAATTGTAGAGTCATGTTTTGTTCAAAGATTAAAATTGAACATTAGAACAACATTTGCATCAGCATTATATTCCCAGTTATTTAAGCAAGAGCTATCCTACAAAAAACGTCATAACTGATTCTAAGCTGCAGGTTTTTACAACTTAAAAGGACGTTTTAGGAAAACAAATCGCGATGAAAGTTAAATATTTCATTTCAGGAATGTCAGCACTTTACAACAGGCAACAACTGTAACCAGTGTTTACCAGGTTACTATGGTGACCCACGACGGGGTACAGAGAAGGACTGTAAGCCCTGTGCTTGTCCACTCCCTGACAGGACCAACAACTTTGCCACGTCCTGTCGCTTGGAACCTGTCCCCGGTAACTATGACAACTATGTGTGTGAGGGCTGCAGGACAGGACACACAGGACCGCACTGTGAAAGGTCAGTCAAGGTCAACAAAAATCTGTTCAGAAGTTTGTGATGTAAAGTGCAATATTAAAATTTTCTTGGAGAATACTTAACCTTGGAAGTACTGCTGAATCATTAATCAATTTGTATGTATATTTTGTTTTACAGGTGTGCACCTGGTTTCTATGGAGACCCTAGACAGCCAGGTGGGTACTGTCGGCCATGTAGCTGTAACGGAAATATTGACACATCAGATTATGGTAGTTGTGATCCTATCACAGGGGCTTGTCTCCGTTGTCGTGACAACACAGAGGGAGAAAGGTGTGATCGTTGCAGACCTGGATACTTCGGTACAGCCAGGAATGGCGACTGTCAGGGTGAGTACAAGATTCTGATAAGGGCAGCATGTTTGTCTAATGAATCCTGCGTCTCACAACCCCAGATAAGAGATTCTGTTACTGATCTCAATGTCTATAATACCTCCAACCCAGGTCGTAGATTCTGTTCCTCTTAGAAATTACACCACAAGAGAATCTATATATATTTTCTGTCATACCACCACAGTTAAGATATTCTATTTCTCTTATATATCGCATCATAAGTGAGTCTATATCTGGTTTCTGTAATACCACCACAGTTAAGATATTCTATTTCTCTTATATATCGCACTATAAGTGAGTCTATATCTGGTTTCTGTTATACCACCACAGTGAAGATATTCTATTTCTCTTATATATCGCACCATAAGTGAGTCTATATCTGGTTTCTGTTATACCACCACAGTTAAGATATTCTATTTCTCTTATATATCGCACCATAAGTGAGTCTTTATCTGGTTTCTGTTATACCACCTCAGTTTATAGATTCTATTCCTCTTATAAATCTCACCATAAGTGAGTATATCTATTTTCTATCATACTACCACAGTTAAGATATTCTGTTCCTGTATTGACAGTGTGTAACTGTGACCAGGGTGGATCACTGACCACTGAGTGTGTCAGAGAGACCGGTCAGTGTGAGTGTCGCTCAAAGTTCGGAGGACGTCGTTGTGACCAGTGCCAGGTAAGATTTCTATTCCTAAGAAGTGTTTTAAATTTTGCACCTCACTTGCTTCTATAATTGTATGTGAGTTGAATTACGGAGACTTGTTCTACTGATGTGGGAGGTTTATAATGTTAGATTTGAAGTGTGGATACTTGTCACGTTTGATTATGTGAAAGGTTTGTATTTGTTTCAACCTTTAATTAACATTAACATGAGTGAATGTGATACTCATTTGATAACTTATTAACATACATACATATATTATATTCACATTTTCAAATTTACTATGAGACAATGATATATGTAAAGTCACTGTCCAAGCACATGCATGTGGCTGTTAATTTGTTATGGTGTCAGTGTTCTTGTTGTCATGGAAACTAACATGCATGAAAAAATCACAAGTGCTGTTTAAGGTGTCAAATTCTTTATCGAGATCTAATCTGATGTCAAAGACATGATAATGTGTATTTTAATTTCTGACAAATTATGCTATTTGGACCCTTTTCCTTCAATTGCCATCATTGTCATCGTAGAGGGGTTATGGAAATGTGGGAGCTGGTTGCCTTTCCTGCGAGTGTGACCCCTATGGGTCACTGACCCTTGAGTGTGACATGTTGACTGGTCAATGCCCATGTCATCCAGGGGTCACAGGTCAAACATGTGATGCCTGTCAAGATGGACATTATGGTTTCTCTCAGAGAGGGTGTTTAGGTATGTTGGGGTCAAAGTTCATTCAATTTTGTTTATAAATGAGTTTCAACTGTTGATTTAACTATCCACTTCCAAGAACTCTTTTGTTAATTTACTTTAAAATCTAAAATGTCATAGTGATATGTTTAATGAAAAATTGTTAAGAATTATCCATGCTAAAAAAAGAATTCTGCATCTTGAATTGAGACATAACCAGCAAGGAACATGACAATCTTTTGATCATTATTCTGTTGCATGTTGATCATGACTAACATATATTTTTTTCTAACATCACATTTGATTGGTTGTTTGTAACCTGATGTTTGATTGGTTTCTACCAGATTGTGAATGTGACCAACTGGGAACTAACTTAACAGAACAGTGTAGTAACACCACCGGTTACTGTAACTGTCTGCCTCACGTGATTGGCTCAAAGTGTGGTGCATGTCAGGTCAGACATAGTAGTTATAGCAACCATCTCAGTCCTCCACCCTAATTATGTAGCTAGCAGACAGGTGTTAGTAGCCTGGCAATCAAGTAACATTTGCCTGTGTGAAATACATAAGTTTAATCTACGGTGGCATGCCCTTATCTAGCTATTAAAGGTATTTAGGCCTGCATGACCTCAGTGCATTAGTCTATTCTGTGACAGCATGTCCTTTTCTAGAGACAAACCCTGTCTTTTATAAGGTTCCAGACAGCTATTTAATTGTCTGATACTACTTTGCTACCCAATCTACTGTAAAATCTACTGTAATGTACTGTAAACCTGACCACTCTTTTACCCATGCAGCTAAGTTTTTGCTCTTGTTTTCTTTCAAAATGGATTTTCCAAGTAAAGTTTCATTTGCGTCGGCGATATTAATGCAACTATCTGACAGTCTTTGAATAATTTTGGTGCCATGTTGAATTCACCCATTTGTTGAAAGGAAACAATGTAACGGCAAAAACTTTTACAATATTCCTACTCTCAGTCAATTTCTGTTATATATATATGGCAGTTTTAATGCTGACTACTATATTGTCCTATACAGATATGTTGGATGTGTTGTATTTCCTATAAACATGCTGTAGTACAGTAAAATTAGGAATGTTTTTGTTCTTTCTGCATGTGATACAACAGAATTCCATACAAAAGATTGTTATATTTTGTCAGTAAGAGGCCCTATTCCAGCTACTGTCTTACTCCATCATATCATCCATAATGCTTCTGCCCATTATTTGTGAACATTCGTTCAAAGTGGTACAAAGTGCATGTATAACAAGTTCTGCTTCCTCTACCTGCAACTTTTAATTCCTCCATGTCTAGCGTCTATACAAAGCTGTGCTTGATTCCTGTGTTTGGTGAATGCTGAAACACTTTCTCCTACAATATTTGTATTTTAGATACATGAAGTTCTGTAGAGATACAATACAGTCTTCATGCTGTGTATATATTTATGCTTTTCCTGTATCATAATATTGTGTATATGATATTTGTGTTTGTATGTTTTAACTGTCTCAGCTGAGAAAATGTCTGAGACATAATTTTACATGTAAAATAAAAAAAATTGTCATGAGAGAAGGTTATCAACCTTTTAATCTGTCAATGATTTCATGTATCAAACTGGCCTATAATATAGTTTGGTTTCAGTAAATCAGGTTTTGTATTTGTACAGCTTGTGCACTGCAGGTCAGTGTCAGTTGATAAATCTGTCATGTTTGATCAAATACTTATGAGAAGTAAATTTCTGTAGAAATTAAAGCAATTCCGAAGAAATTGTGAAATATTTCAGAAACACCTATGACGGTATCCACCAGCTTCTTGATGTTTTTACAGCAAGCATGGTGTTAACACATTAATGTATGTCCAGATACCTGTTGGTGGTAAATGTGCAACACACCTGTAATATCAACGTGTCCACCTGGTAAATATGCTGGGTATACACCTGTGTGATGCACATAAATAATAATTCATTAATTGCTGCTGATGTAAGTATATCATCTTAAGTGCGTACCTGGTATGACCTCACCAATATTGTGAAATTAAAATATTGTTCTTTGTTATTTGAAACTTTTCTGAGTAATTGTTATCAGAGTAAACCTTAAATGTCCTGAGTGGTTTACTAATTACCCCTACGCTGCTGATGTATATGACATTTCCAGTTGCATTGCCGTGTGTTGATATGGTGTAACTGTACTCTATCTATAACCAGCTATGTGACAAAGATTTCTGCCTGTATTACAGGACCACTACTACGGCCTACCTAGAGGAGAGGGTTGTTCCCCCTGCCAATGTGACCCAGTGGGGTCGCTATATCGCCAGTGTGACAGAACAACAGGCCAATGTGTGTGTCGCCCCGGGGTGGGGGGACGGACCTGTGATGCATGTAGCCAGGACTATTTTGGATTTTCTGTTTACGGATGTAGAAGTAAGAATTAAAATTATTATTATTGAGATAGATATGATCACTAATGTTTAGTTCTAATGATTTAGATAATAATGAATACCTGAATTGTGTGAAATTGATTTAATTTATGTACGAAATAAATTGACTACTAGAACATAACTATTGATTTAATTAATGTTTGAATGTGAATCAGTAATTCAGATATGATGATGAACAGGTTGGGCACAACGGCGCATATGGGTAATAATCCTGCATTTGGGTAACATCTTTGTATGTTATGGTTGAATGCACTTCGAATCTACTTTCACTATCCTATATAAAAAATTAAAAAATTGTACTTCACTATCTTTATTAAAAACTGCTATTTATATGGTTATTATAAACAACTTTTGGTTGAACGTTTTTTCGTGTTTTGACATTTTCGTGATTTTAGATGTCCCGACTTTTCTAAGGCTTCAAAGGTCGTGAAATACTTTCAAAACCAAAAAATGTTCAACCAAAAGTTGTTTGTAATAACCAATAGATATGGCAAGATTCAATGACGTAAGTAAAGTACAAAATTTTGATTTTTTATATAGGATAGTGAAAGTAGATTTGCAGTGCATTCAACCATAACATACAAAGATGTTACCCAAATGCAGGATTATTACCCATATGCGTCGTTGTGCCCAACCTGATGAAGATACACAAACATACTTGATCAGATTCCATTGGTGTGTATCAGTTATATAGAGAAAGTTAAACGTTTATGGGTTATAACAATGCTGTTTGTAAATACGTATTGTATATGTTGTCACCGTGTTGTAGGATGTGACCCCTGTGACAAACCGGGCCATATCTGTGACCCACAGTCTGGGAGTTGTGTGTGTCCCCTGTACACCACTGGGCCCCGGTGCGGGCGCTGCCGACCCAAAACTTGGGGATATCATCCCACCGAAGGCTGTAAGGTAAAGCTCCAGGGCTGTGTTCAGTAAGGAAAGCATTTCAGTAAGGAAAGCACTTAAGAAAAATGTACGGATGGTCATTTCTGTTGTTCTGATTAAAAAAGTGCAGATTTTGTTTACCAAGTATTAGTGTTGACCAGTATTTGAACATTGTAAATTGTCAATAGATTGTATAGAAATAAACCAAACAGAATTTTTTTATCGTTTATGTATGTAGTACTATTTGAAAAGTTGAAAAAAACCTTTTCATTATGAAGGTGGCTAGAGGCTTTATAGCTTCATCAATGGATGTAAACTGGCTACTTAAATAAAAGATATGAGACTAGAAATATGAGCTTTATACCTGATCCTACTGTTCTACTGTTATAGTATGGTTAATGTATTCCAGCCCTGTGGGTGTAACCCTAGGACCTCTAAGTCTGAGCAGTGTAACCGTAACACGGGGAAGTGTAACTGTAGGAGAAATTACTCCGGGGACCGGTGTGACCGCTGTCTATACGGCTATCATGGATTCCCCAACTGTGTGGCCTGTCAGTGTGATGACCGCGGAACCAACGCCAGCAGCTGTGAAAGTCCCAACAAGTGTGATTGTGACGACAGTGGGCAGTGTGTGTGTAAGGTAGGCCGTCTTATATCTAGTAACATTCTGAAGCTGCTGGATACTGCATGTATACCAGGAAATTTCAATTGCAGTTTAATTTTCGCCTTTTTTGCTTTCCATAATGAGGGTGAATTTATCATTAAAGTGAATATAAGTAAACAGCATAATATACATAGTATTTAAACATGAAAGCCGAAATTCACACTGGGCGAAAATTACGTTGGAGAAGCCTAGGGCAAATATTTGGCAGGCAAAAATTTCCCGGTATACAGTAAAAGGAATAGTAAACTTAACATTAGATAATGACTGTACTATTTATAAATGGTAAAGTTAAGCAATTTAAAAGGAAATTACAACTTTGAGTGGACGTTGTTTGATCTCACTTGCAAACAAATCATATTTTTAAATAAGCTTTCAATGGATTTAGCAGATTTGCTTTGGAATTTTCAGGTAAAATAATGACAGATGAAGTCTAATTGTATTTAAGATATGAATGATAAATTAATTATTTATGTATGTGTATCTGTCACAGAAAAACGTGGAGGGTGAGGCTTGTGATAACTGTAAACCTAACACCTTCAGTCTGGACAAGGAGAACCCCAGTGGCTGTACCAAGTGTTTCTGTTTTGAGCGATCCTCCACCTGTACTCAGGCTCCCTATGTCTGGGACCAGGTAAGTAGAATTGTTTTATTAAATACCTGGTGAATCTTACTATAGTGATACAGCCAGTCTTATTAAATACCAGGTGAATCGTACTATAAGTATACAGCCAGTCTTATTAAATACCTGGTGAATCTTACTATAGTGATACAGCTAGTCTTATTAAATACCAGGTGAATCTTACTATAGTGATACAGCTAGTCTTATTAAATACCAGGTGAATCTTACTATAAGTATACAGCCAGTCTTATTAAATACCTGGTGAATCTTACTATAGTGATACAGCTAGTCTTATTAAATACCAGGTGAATCGTACTATAAGTATACAGCCAGTCTTATTAAATACCTGGTGAATCTTACTATAGTGATACAGCTAGTCTTATTAAATACCAGGTGAATCGTACTATAAGTATACAGCCAGTCTTATTAAATACCTGGTGAATCTTACTATAGTGATACAGCTAGTCTTATTAAATACCAGGTGAATCTTACTATAAGTATACAGCCAGTCTTATTAAATACCAGGTGAATCTTACTATAGTGATACAGCCAGTCTTATTAAATACCTGGTGAATCTTACTATAGTGATACAGCTAGTCTTATTAAATACCAGGTGAATCGTACTATAAGTATACAGCCAGTCTTATTAAATACCTGGTGAATCTTACTATAGTGATACAGCTAGTCTTATTAAATACCAGGTGAATCGTACTATAAGTATACAGCCAGTCTTATTAAATACCTGGTGAATCTTACTATAGTGATACAGCTAGTCTTATTAAATACCAGGTGAATCTTACTATAAGTATACAGCCAGTCTTATTAAATACCTGGTGAATCTTACTATAGTGATACAGCTAGTCTTATTAAATACCAGGTGAATCTTACTATAAGTATACAGCCAGTCTTATTAAATACCTGGTGAATCTTACTATAGTGATACAGCCAGTCTTATTAAATACCAGGTGAATCGTACTATAAGTATACAGCCAGTCTTATTAAATACCTGATGAATCTTACTATAGTGATACAGCTAGTCTTATTAAATACCTGATGAATCTTACTAAAGTGATACAGCTAGTCTTATTAAATACCTGATGAATCTTACTATAGTGATACAGCTAGTCTTATTAAATACCTGGTGAATCTTACTATAAGTATACAGCCAGTCTTATTAAATACCTGGTGAATCTTACTATAAGTATACAGCCAGTCTTATTAAAGACCAGGTGAATCTTACTATAGTGATACAGCCAGTCTTATTAAATACCAGGTGAATCGTACTATAAGTAAACAGCCAGTCTTATTAAATACCTGGTGAATCTTACTATAAGTATACAGCCAGTCTTATTAAAGACCAGGTGAATCTTACTATAGTGATACAGCCAGTCTTATTAAATACCAGGTGAATCGTACTATAAGTATACAGCCAGTCTTATTAACTACCTGATGAATCTTACTATAGTGATACAGCTAGTCTTATTAAATTCCTGGTGAATCTTACTATAGTGATACAGCTAGTCTTATTAAATACCTGGTGAATCTTACTATAAGTATACAGCCAGTCTTATTAAATACCTGGTGAATCTTACTATAGTGATACAAATAGTTATTCAAACCATGTAATACAAGGTATTTAACTCTGTGATAATACATAGATGTTGTACATGTATTACCAAAGAAGCAGACCTCCAGTTTGGCTTGAACTCACAGGATATCAGGATATCCATTGATAAATCAACAAACTAAAACAGGAATGGCTACCAAACATTTAAACACCATTTTATGCTATGGTAATAAGTTGTCATTATTTAGTCCTCATCGCCATTGTGTCTGCCATTATTGTTTGGTTCAAGTTTCCTGGAAGCAAATTGAACATTAGAACTGAGTAATGAAGAATGCTTAGCAGAAAATAGAAAATGCATTTGAGGAACAATTGTAGTAATAAAAGCAAGAATATGACATGAATGGATATATTTCAGTTGGATTAAAACCTTTTTAAAATATATCCATTTACTAAAAGCACTTGTGCAATACGTGATGACCATAGGTTGTATTGCCTATTTATAAGATAATTCCCTGTTTTATCACTGGTATATGTAAATGACCTTGACCTTTTTAGTTTATACAATGTCATGGAAGTTTATATTCTCTTTATTTAGATGAGAATTCCAGATATGCGGATGACCTTTGACCCAAGAGTTTCCAGAGTTGTGACTCGACAATTCAAAAACTTCAATGTGATACCAGAGGGCACTGCTTACACATCTATCCCAGGGTACCTGAGGGCTGGGCCACTGTACTGGAAACTCCCTCAAACAGGAGACATGGTGGGTGCCTTCTCAACCTCACTAATTGAGTTTTTTTTAATTAGAAAAAACTTGTTTTAATCACACTTACTTTCAGAAAGTATATTCAAGTTGTTTTTTAATTATGATTGTGAACAACGTTTAAAAGCCAAATACGTTTGAAAGTTGTATCCATACCTAAGTGACGACTTACTTCTGATTGTGATATAAGTGATATATTTTTACAGTACAAGCCTGTGTATGGTTATACCTGTTTATCTTCTCCTCTTTGTGACATATGTAATATAGTTTTACAATAGAAGTCCATGTACATATATGCTAATCAACCTTTCTTCTTTATTTTCTTTGTGATAAGACTTTGTCCTATAACGGTGGCCTGCGGTTCAATGTGCTGTACCGAACAGAGGATAACACTCGATCCTCCACACCGACACAGAACCACCCCTCTGTGTTGATTGTAGGCAACACCTTCCAAATGATATACAACAGCTCGAAGTCCTGGATTCCAGGCTCAACACACAGCTTCAACATTCAGCTACATGAGGTACATTGACACAGGTTGATGGTCTGTGAAAGCCTCCTTTGGCTGATCAGATAGTGTTTGTGACAGGTAGAACACTCATTTTGACCAAATTAAAGGTGTATGATAGGTATATGGTTGTACTTTTTATGTTGTTAATCTAGTAATGTGTTTTGAGCAATAGTTTTGAATTCCGATAATGACTGAGCCATGCAGTGCTGTACCTCTTTTGTTCCAAGAGCTGAGGATGTTGAAGAAGTCTTCAGTCCTTTATTATTTATTTATTATTGTTATAAAATACTCTTTTGAGAAGCATTCCATTGATGATGAATCTGTTCACAGAGCCAGTGGGAGGTGCAGGGCTTTGACAAGGTGGCCACGAGGAAGATGATGATGATCATTCTCCAGAACGTCACAGCCATTCTAGTCCGAGGCTCCTATGACAAAAATACTGTGTACTCTGAGTAAGTACAAATGATATTAAACAGCCATAATTGTAAATAATAGAAGTCACAACAAAGCACCGTTTATTAGATGTAATAATTGATTTTCTTTATATTAAATTGGTATACATGAGCGACACATTCATCCAGACACCTAATTCATTCCGAGCTAAAGAGGCAGGGTTAAGACTGACTTCAATACTCATTAAAACATGAACAATTTGTATATTTACGGGGGGGTGGGAGATCCAACGTCCGTACAAAGAGACCAGTGGAGTTCTGTGATGCCCAGCAGACAGATTCCACAAGGAATACAAGAGTCTGGTTGTAGTAGTAGAGTTATCAATAGGTAACGATGACCATGACAACGTCGTGCTGGGTTAAACGGCTTTAATCAAGATATATAAGAGTAGTTTCGATACATTAGATGTGTTGTCATCAGAACAAATTTGAAATATAAACATTCGGGTATAATGTATAAAATGCAGTGCCTTGCTTAGTGACGTCACAACAAAGCAAATATAAATGACATAATACATAGTAACACAGTCATCAATAGTGGTGAGGGCTAATTTTGTATATTTGTATATTTATCAATCCTGTAGAATGACTTTGGTAAAAGTGACACTGATTGAGTTGTTATTGGATTGTGAAGTACCTCAATAACCACAAATTTCTTTCTTCCTTTCTTAATTTATTTCACTTTCATTGTTTGTTTCACAGGATAACTGACATAGTGTTAGAAGTGGCTGGACCACCTGTACCTGGTCGTAACCTGGAACCAGCCCTGGGAGTTGAGATCTGTGAGTGTCCGGCCAAGTACAGTGGACTGTCCTGTCAGGTAAGAACATGGTGTCAATCTGTTACTGTAAGACTGTGCTGTCAGGTAAGAACATGGTGTCAACCTGTTACTGTAAGACTGTCCTGTCATGTAAGAACATGGTGTCAATCTCTTACTTTAAGACTTTCCTGTCAGGTAAGAACATGCTGTCAATCTGTTACTGTAAGACTGTCCTGTCAGTTAAGAACATGGTGTCAATCTCTTACTCTAAGACTGTCCTGTCAGGTAAGAACCTGGTGGCAATCTCTTACTGTAAGACTGTCCTCTCAGGTAAGAACATGGTGTCAATCTTTTACTGTAAGACTGTCCTGTCAGGTCAGAACATGGTGTCAATCTCTTACTGTACGACTGTCCTGTCAGGTAAGAACATGGGGTCAATCTCTTACTGTAAGACTGTCCTGTCAGGAAAGAACAAGGTGTCAATCTGGTACTGTAAGACTTTCCTGTCAGGTAAGAACATGCTGTCAATCTGTTACTGTAAGACTGTCCCGTCAGAAATTCTAGAGACATTGCAATAGACTTTTTTTCTATTCCAAAGCATTTCCAACTTAGTGTCATTTATGGTTACATTGGTACTTTTTATACATTGAATTGATTTTAAAAGAGTCTACAGTGGACTGTCCTGTCAGGTAAGAACATGGTTTCAATCTCTTACTGTAAGACTGTCCTCTCAGGTAAGAACATGGTGTCAATCTTTTACTGTAAGACTGTCCTGTCAGGTAATAACATGGTGTCAATCTCTTACTGTAGGACTGTCCTGTCAGGTAAGAACATGGTTTCAATCTCTTACTGTAAGACTGTCCCGTCAGGTAAGAACATGGGGTCAATCTCTTACTGTAAGACTGTCCCGTCAGGTAAGAACATGGGGTCAATCTGTTACTGTAAGACTGTGCTGTCAGGTAAGAACATGGTGTCAACCTGTTACTGTAAGACTGTCCTGTCAGATAAGAACATGGTGTCAATCTGTTACTGTACCACCTGTACCTGGTCGTAACCTGGAACCAGCCCTGGGAGTTAAGATCTGTGAGTGTCCGGCCAAGTACAGAGGACTGTCCTGTCAGGTAAGAACATGGAGTCAATCTGTTACTGTAAGACTGTCCCGTCAGAAATTCTAGGGACATTGCAATAGACTTTTTTTCTATTCCAAAGCATTTCCAACTTAGTGGCATTAATGGTTAAATTGGTACTTTTTATACATTGAATTGATTTTAAAAGAGTCTACAGTGGACTGTCCTGTCAGGTAAGAACATGGCGTCAATCTGTTACTGTAAGACTGTCCCGTCAGAAATTCTAGGGACATTGCAATAGACTTTTTTTCTATTCCAAAGCATTTCCAACTTAGTGTCATTTATGGTTACATTGGTACTTTTTATACATTGAATTGATTTTAAAAGAGTCTACAGTGGACTGTCCTGTCAGGTAAGAACATGGGGTCAATCTGTTACTGTAAGACTGTGCTGTCAGGTAAGAACATGGTGTCAAGCTCTTACTGTAAGACTGTCCTGTCATGTAAGAACATGGTGTCAATCTCTTAATGTAAGACTGTCCTGTCAGGTAAGAACCTGGTGGCAATCTCTTACTGTAAGACTGTCCTGTCAGTTAAGAACATGGTGTCAATCTGTTACTGTGAGACTGTCCTGTCAGGTAAGAACATGGCGTCAATCTCTTACTGTAAGACTGTCCTGGCAGGTAAGAACATGGAGTCAATCTCTTACTGTAAGACTGTCCTGTCAGGTAAGAACATGGTGTCAATCTGTTACTGTAAGACTGTCCCGTCAGAAATTCTAGAGACATTGCAATAGACTTTTTTTCTATTCCAAAGCATTTCCAACTTAGTGGCATTTATGGTTACATTGGTACTTTTTATACATTGAATTGATTTTAAAAGAGTCTTAATTTTGTTTTCTATGAATAATATTTGCAAATTGATTTCTCTTACAGCTTCCTGCTCCAGGATTTTACAGATTCCGATATAACCTGACCATCGAAATCTCCGACCCAATCCTCATAATTGGAGGGGTGGAGGAGTGTTTCTGTAATGGCCACAGTAACATGTGTAATATCTTCTCTGGACAATGTCAGGTAAGTCTCATAACCTCCTACCTTGTTTACTGTCAATAATCTCAAATATGGTGAATGATAACACCATTATAGTAATCATTGATCAGGTAATATCAAACTTTATGCTTATTTTTCAGTAATTTTAAAATTTATCAATTTATATAAAAGATCTATTGTGCTTTCATCATGTTTTTTCTTCTTTTTAGAACTGTACCGGCAACTCATATGGGCATAACTGTGAGTTGTGTGCCCCTGGATATTTTGGTGATGCCACCAGAGGGACAGATGCTGACTGTAGGCCATGTTTGTGTCCCAGTGTCACCAACAGGTATTACTGTACAGGGATCGGAGTGATCAATTTGTATTTGTATTTTATCAACAGTAAGCGTTTTAAACTTCGAAATGATATAAAAAAAAACGGATATGGAGCAGATGTATGTCAGAGATATGGAGAACAGACTTATGGGGTCGTTTTAGAGATAACACAGATATCTGGGGTTGTTTTAGAGATAACACAGATATACTGAGTTGTTTAAGAGATAACAAAGATATGTGGGGTTGTTTTAAAGATAAGACAGATATGTGGTGTTGTTTTAGAGATAACACAGATATGTGGCGTTGATTTAGAGATAATACAGATATGTGGGGTTGTTTTAGAAACAAGACAGATATGTGGGGTTGTTTTAGAGGCAAGACAGATATGTGGGGTTGTTTTAGAGAAAAGACAGATATGTGGGGTTGTTTTAGAGACAGGACAGATATGTGGGGTTGTTTTAGAGATATCACAGATATGTGGGGTTGTTTTAGAGATAAAACAGATATGTGGGGTTGTTTTAGAGATAAGACGGATATGTGGGGTTGTTTTAGAGACAAGACTGATATGTGGGGTTGTTTTAGAGATAACACAGATAGGTGGGGTTGTTTTAGAGATAAGACAGATAAGTGGGGTTGTTTTAGAGATAAGAAAGATATGTGGGGTTGTTTTAGAGATAAGATAGATATGTGGGGTTGTTTTAGAGACAAGACTGATATGTGGGGTTGTTTTAGAGATAACACAGAGATGTGGGGTTGTTTTAGAGATAACACAGAGATGTGGGGTTGTTTTAGAGATAACACAGATAGGTGGGGTTGTTTTAGAGATAAGACAGATAAGTGGGGTTGTTTTAGAGATAAGACAGATAAGTGGGGTTGTTTTAGAGATAAGAAAGATATGTGGGGTTGTTTTAGAGATAAGACAGATAAGTGGGGTTGTTTTAGAGATAAGAAAGATATGTGGGGTTGTTTTAGAGATAAGACGGATATGTGGGGTTGTTTTAGAGATAACACATATATGTGGGGTTGTTTTAGAGATAACACAGATATGTGGGTTTGTTTTAGAGATAACACAGATATGTGCGGTTGATTTAGAGATAACACAGATATGTGGAGTTGTTTTAGAGACAAGACAGATATGTGGGCTTGTTTTAGAGATAACACAGATATGTGGGGATGTTTTAGAGATAAGACAGATATGTGGGGTTATTTTAGAGATAACACAGATATGTGGGGTTGATTTAGAGATAAGACAGATATGTGAGGTTGTTTTAGAGACAAGACAGATATGTGGGGGTGTTTTAGAGATAACACATATATGTGGGGTTGTTTTAGAGATAACACAGATATCATGAGTTGTTTAAGAGATAACAAAGATATGTGGGGTTGTTTTAAAGATAAGACAGATATGTGGTGTTGTTTTAGAGATAACACAGATATGTGGCGTTGATTTAGAGATAATACAGATATGTGGGGTTGTTTTAGAAACAAGACAGATATGTGGGGTTGTTTTAGAGACAGGCCAGATATTTGGGGTTGTTTTAGAGATAACACAGATATGGGGGGTTGATTTAGAGATAAGACAGCTATGTGGGGTTGTTTTAGAGATAACACAGATAGGTGGGGTTGTTTTAGAGATAAGACAGATATGTGGGGTTGATTTAGAGATAACACAGATATGTGTGGTTGTTTTAGAGATAACACAGATATGTGGGGTTGATTTAGAGATAACACAGATATGTGTGGTTGTTTTAGAGACAAGACAGATATGTGGGGGTGTTTTAGAGATAACACAGATATGTGGGGTTGTTTTAAAGATAAGACAGATATGTGGGGTTGTTTTATAGATAAAACAGATATGTGGGGTTGTTTTAGAGATAACAAAGATATGTGGGGTTGTTTTAAAGATAAGACAGATATGTGGTGTTGTTTTAGAGATAACACAGATATGTGGGTTGATTTAGAGATAAGACAGATATGTGGGTTGTTTTAGAGACAAGACAGATATGTGGGCTTGTTTTAGAGATAACACAGATATGTGGGGATGTTTTAGAGATAAGACAGATATGTGGGGTTGATTTAGAGATAACACATATATGTGGGGTTGTTTTAGAGATAACACAGAGATGTGGGGTTGTTTTAGAGATAACACAGATATGTAGGGTTGTTTAAGAGATAAGACAGATATGTGGGGTCGTTTTAGAGATAACACAGATATGTGGGGTTGATTTAAAGATAAGACAGATATGTGGGGTTGTTTTAGAGAAAAGACAGATATGTGGGGTTGTTTTAGAGAAAAGACAGATATGTGGGGTTGTTTTAGAGATAACAAAGATATGTGGGGTTGTTTTAAAGATAAGACAGATATGTGGGGTTGTTTTATAGATAAGACAGATATGTGGGGTTGTTTTAGAAACAAGACAGATATGTGGGGTTGTTTTAGAGGCGAGACAGATATGTGGGGTTGTTTTAGAGATATCACAGATATGTGGGGTTGTTTTAGAGATAACACAGAGATGTGGGGTTGTTTTAGAGATAACACAGATAGGTGGGGTTGTTTTAGAGATAAGACAGATAAGTGGGGTTGTTTTAGAGATAAGACAGATATGTAGGGTTGTTTTAGAGATAACACAGATATGTGGCGTTGATTTAGAGATAATACAGATATGTGGGGTTGTTTTAGAAACAAGACAGATATGTGGGGTTGTTTTAGAGGCAAGACAGATATGTGGGGTTGTTTTAGAGACAGGACAGATATGTGGGGTTGTTTTAGAGATAACAAAGATATGTGGGGTTGTTTTAAAGATAAGACAGATATGTGGTGTTGTTTTAGAGATAACACAGATATGTGGGGATGTTTTAGAGATAAGACAGATATGTGGGGTTGATTTAGAGATAACACAGATATGTGTGGTTGTTTTAGAGATAACACAGATATGTGGGTTTGTTTTAGAGATAAGACAGATATGTGGGGTTGCTTTAGAGATAACACAGATATGTGGGGTTGTTTAAGAGATAACACAGATATGTGTGGTTGTTTTAGAGATAACACAGATATGTGGGGATGTTTTAGAGATAAGACAGATATGTGGGGTTATTTTAGAGATAACACAGATATGTGGGGTTGTTTAAGAGATAACACAGATATGTGGGGTTGATTTAGAGATAACACATATATGTGGGGTTGTTTTAGAGATAACACATATATGTGGGGTTGTTTTAGAGATAACACAGAGATGTGGGGTTGTTTTAGAGATAACACAGATAGGTGGGGTTGTTTTAGAGATAAGACAGATAAGTGGGGTTGTTTTAGAGATAAGAAAGATATGTGGGGTTGTTTTAGAGATAAGACGGATATGTGGGGTTGTTTTAGAGATAACACAGATATCCTGAGTTGTTTAAGAGATAACAAAGATATGTGGGGTTGTTTTAAAGATAAGACAGATATGTGGGGTTGTTTTAGAGATAACACAGATATGTGGGGTTGTTTTAGAGATAACACAGATATGTGGGGTTGTTTTAGAGATAACACAGATATGTGGGGTTGATTTAGAGATAAGACAGATATGTGGGGTTGTTTTAGAGATAAGACAGATATGTGGGGTTGTTTTTGAGATAAGACAGATATGTGGGGTTGTTTTTGAAATAAAACAGATATGTGGGGTTGATCTTGGGTTGTGAAAACTGCACAGTTTTATATACACAGTTACATATTTTGGGTTTGTTTGTATGTTTCTATTTTGTATTGTTATTTTAGTTTCAGTACGACATGTGAGATTCAGCGCGGGGGTTTGGTTTGTACCAATTGTTCAGAGGGCTACACAGGAACTCGCTGTCAGAGGTATGTATCAACTGAAAATTAAATGTTATTTGTTGAAATCCTTTTAAATAATGTTTCAAAGGAGATTACATTCAACAAACATAAATGTTATTTTGAATTACATCACGGATCAAGGGAATTGAATATGGTATGAATTAAGGGTGTGGCTTTATTTGTGCTGTGGCAGGACTCAAAATGGAAAATAGGGACAAATTTTCAAAAGATTTCTTCAGTACAGGTGAATGGATTTTACCTTATTTGATATAATGGATCTCTGGGCCAAAGGACTCAACATTGTATAATCAAGTGTGTGGCCTTATTAAGGCAGGTGTCAAAATGGGGTTAATGTTTAAAAGACCAATCTTTTAAGTGTAGATGAACCTAATTAGTATACAGCATTTTTGAGTCAAGGGCCTAATGCATAGTAGAAATAGACTATACATGTAATTTAATCACGGAAAAGTGTAGGATTCGAAGCCTTATATAGGAATATAATTAAATATTTGAAGACTTATATTTTGCTATTTTGATAAGCATATTTCAAAGTCAATATAATGTAAGCATATGTGCCTATCATGAATTACAGAAAATTCCTAATGCACTTTTTTTGCCTCATTTGTGATACCTGGTACCTAAGATATAAGTAAAACCAGTTGAGCTAATCAGACCCTTACACCTCTTGTTTTTGTATTACATTCACAGTGATTTAAACAACTATATGAAATCAAATATTTGTTTTTAGCTGTGCAGATGGTTACTATGGAAACCCCACCAATGTGGGAGGGGCATGCATACCATGTGACTGTAATAGGGACGGCTCTGTGTCTGGTCGCTGTGACAACAGTGGACGCTGTGTGTGTCTGCCAGGAATCATGGGTGAAAAGTGTGACTCGTGTCAACCTCGATATGCTGTGGTGGATGGTGCTTGTGTCTGTGAGTATATAACTGATGCTGTATATCTCCCAATATTTTATGTCATTGAAATTTGTACAAATTCAATATACATTTGATGCATTAGTTTTCCTTGTTTATTTTACTTCCTCTCTTGGAGTTCCTTTCAACTTGATCAAGTTCTGTGTAGTTAAAATTGTATTTTATTACTTACCTTGTTGATGTGATCACCTTTACGACCTTGACCTTTCAGCATGTGATGTTGGGTGTACAGCGGACCTGATGATGGAGATGGACAAACTTGACAACGTCACCCTGACTGTCAACATCACCGGGATATTCCCTGTGCCCTGGGACAGGCTGTGGAGGATCAACAATGATACCAAACAACTCCGGGTAGGTGTACGCCCCTGTGAAATAGTGCTCAGATTTAGACTCTTCTGATTGTGAGGTTGTTCAAAGGGTGAATCTTACTTTCTTGGCACTGGCTGTGAATTGATTTTTTTTCTCTCCTCGTAATGATCATATTCACTGTAATAAATGTTTGTGGATGTGATTTTCTTTTTTTGTAGGAACAGTGGGATGCACTACAGACGGCAGAGATCCGTGACTTAGAAAATCAGTTGGCTCGTCTGGAAATTAAAGCAAAGGAATTAAAAGCAAAGGTAAATATATGCCTTCTTTTCACATCATGTTAGTAAGGCAAAAGAAAATGGAGTTTTGATTTCTCTCCCCACACAGTAAAGCCTACTTAAATGTGATTAGGTAAGGACTACTCAGCAGGTCCTGTTGTTTCAACTGTGATTATTTTTTTTATCTATTGTTAGCTCACCTGGTCCGAAGGACCAAGGTGAGCTTATGCCATACCGTTGCGTCCGTCGTCCTTCCGTACGTACGTCAACAATTTCTTTAAACGACTACTTCTTCTTAACCACTGATTGGAATTCAACTAAATTTGACTGGAAGCATCCCTAGGTGATGGGGATTCAAAAGTGTACAAATGATATGGCTGACCCCCCAGGGGGCTGAGGGGTGGGGCAAAAAGGGGGCAATTTGGCTATATTGCTTTAAGCGACTTCTTCTCTGGAACTAAGAAGTGGATATCAACCATAATTGACTGGAAGCATCCCTAGGTGGTGGTGATTCAAAATTGTACAAATGGTTGGGTTGACCCCCCAGGGGGCTGAGGGGTGGGGCCAAAAGGGGGCAATTTGACTATTTTGCTACAAACGACTTCTTCTGTAGAACTGTGCACTGGATATCAATCATATTTGATCAAAAGCATTCATGGGAGGCAGGGATTCACAATTGTACAAATGATGGGGCTGATCCCCTGGGCTAAAGGGTGGGGCCAAAAAAAGTGTATTACATGGAAATGGTTGAGATCCCCACCATATAGCCATGGTATAAAATTACTGAGTACAAAGAGAAGAATGCACATTTGCTTCCAGGATGTCCCTAGGGTCTGGCCCCACCCTTGGAGACATAGTCCCTGAGCCATAACTTTAAAACTGTTGAGATCCCCACCCCAAAACTATATATTCAAATGCTGGGCATAAAGAAACGAATGCAGTCATGATATCAGAATAGACCCTGGGGTCTGATCGAACCCCCAGGGCCCTAGTTTCTTAGTCGCAGCTAGTTGAGAGCCCCACCCTATAACCATATATACAATTGCTGAATATAAAGAGATGATTGCACATATGCTTCCAGGATGGCCTTGGGGACTGCCCCACCCTGGGTCATAACTTCGTAATGGTTAAGATCCCCACCCCAATACTATATATACAATTGTTGGGTATAAAGAGACGAATGCAGTCATGATATTAGAATTGACCCCAGGGTCTGTGACTCTGCCCCTCCCTTGCAGAATTAACCCCTGGGTCATAACTTTGAAACAGTTGAGATCCCGACCCCAAAACTATATATACAAATGCTGGGAAAAAATAGACAAATGCAGTCACGATATTATAATTGATCCTGGGGTCTGGCCAAAACCCTAGGGACCTAGTTTCTGAGTCAAAGCTTGGAAACAGTTGAGATCCCCACCCCATAACCATACATAAAATTGCTGGGCATGAAAAATCTAATACAGATATGCTGCAAGGATTGGCCTTGGGGTCTGGCATATTCCCTTGATCTCATTTGGAGGTATTTTGCCATGATTGTATCCAGGTGAGCAATACAGGCCCTCTTGGCCTCTTGTATTATTTTTGTTATTTAAGTCTTCAACATTGCATGTCACAGTTCTGTATCTGAAATGATTATTTTTAACAGTCTGTCGAAGTAATGGCAGATGGAGACCTGGCAGTGATACAGGCAGATGCACTTGACACCAGTGCAAATGAAATCAAGAATGAAATTGATGACCTGTTTGATAAAATCAAAGGTAATGCTTTATTCAGGACTAGATGGTCCTGATGTTGTTCTGTCCTTTCTATTGACAGTGTTTTGTTTCCAATATAACACTGACTGTGCCAACATGTTTGAATTGAAATATTGTGTCTATCCTCTAATAAGCCCATGCCTGGTAATGAGCCATCCATATCTATTGCTATTCAGTAAAAATGCCAACAAATATTGTTTTATTGTTTTGTAATAAGCCCATCTTCCTACCGTTAGCGAGACATTATGTGGGGGACCCCCTGGACTTAATCGACGATATATGCACCACAAACTACTTAAAACGTCTGCTTAGCATCTTCATTAGTGTTTCAGTCATTTTAATAATGTATATAGCCTCTATATTTGAATTTCCAGACATCTGCACACACATTGATATACCAATAAGATGACGCATAATATACTTTGCCATTGTAATACTGTAAGGTCCTTTTATGTCCAACATTCCAGACGTCATGTAGTTGGCATGCATTGTCATTGTAATACATGTACTTTAAAATATGTACATTCTGCCTTTCAGACATCGTAGCCAACATTGACATTTCTATTGACCGACATCCAAACTCCACTGGCATCGACATATCTGATGCTCTCGCTGCTGCCAAGATAATTTTGAAAGAGATTGAGAACAGGGACTTCTCTGATAAGGAGACAGAAATTGCTGTGCACGCCATGTAAGGAAATACACTCTCCAGCTACCCCTTAGTGTCTTGATGTTGTCAGCTTTCCTTCCATTTCCCTTTCTCCTCAGCTTCCGTTTCTCCCACCTTTTTCTGTTTCGCCTTCTTCCTTGCATCCTCTCTGTTCCCTCGTACTACATAGCTTTCCCTCTTCAGCCCAGCTTTTTCAATTTCCCCAAGCTTCCTCTCCATCTCCATAGCTTCCCCTCTGTTTCCCTTTCCCCTATTTCCCATTCTTCATGGTTATAATCTACTGCAATAATTCAGCTAGATATTTAACTCATTCACCCCTGAAATTTCATAATGAACTTTTCCAACCTTTGAATGGAAAGAATTCAGATGTGTCTTCAGGGGTGAATGAGTTCATTTTGACTTAAGTTACCATCTTTATATAACCCTAGCTGTTGGGAGGACCTTAAACCACATAGTTACTTTATTTTGAATATGGTCATAAGTTACTTGATGATATTGAAACTTGTGTTTGCAGGAAGGTGGAAAGTCTGCAGTATAGAATAAAGAACATGAAGGTGGGTCTGGTTAACACTTCTTCAGTGAAGACTGAGCTGGATGATGCCCTGAGGCGGTTACAAGACCTCAAACAGAAGGCAAATAACACAGAGAAAGTTGTTGACGAAGTGTCCAGCAAAAACCTTGGCATCACTGTTAAAAACAAAAAATTGGAGGTGAGTCTATTGTATAGTATCAGCCGTACTTAGGAAAAAAAACATAATTAAGACATACTTTGTTGTAAAGCATTTAGGATAACTGAGAATCATCTGACAAAAAAATCAACAGTTGTAGTCACAATGGTGAACAATTTAGTCATTTATTATGTATGTATATTAAGTTATAATAACTTTATTTATATTACAACACTTATGAAACACTATTAACGACTTGTTAATCGCTCTTGTTGGCCTGGATGAAAGGGCACAGGGTTCTTAATGCGGAGGAAACTAGAGTACCGGCAGAAAAACCCACATAGTTGAGAAGGTGAGCCATACCTTTACGCCACCAGACCATTGTTTGCCACAGGTTCAATGACACTTGGAAAAAATGACCTGAATTTCAGTTGTATAAAATGCTACCATATGAAGTAATAAGAATGCTTGTCGTTTGTTGTAGGACCTGATGTACGATATAGATGGTGCCCAGGACCAGGTGGTGAAGAGCCTGGTCGGAGGCTATCAGATCATCAAGGAAGCCCGCGCCCTCCTCAGACGTACTCGCCTAAATATTGATGTAAGGATTCTGTTATGCTTTTGCAAGTTAGATGGTTTCTTTAAATTTATGTACAACTGTAGAATACAAATAATCAATTATTCCTCACATCAAGTCAGGATTTATTTTACAGAAGAATAGACTATACAGGTCTTGAATGGAAAAAAATATAAAGGTTCAAAAAAGTAAATATAAAAATGTATCAACAACAGTTATTTGGAGTGTAAAACAGTAGTGAGACTAGGCCAGGATTTGAACCCTTACTGAGCTGCCTGATTGACGAAAATGAATGGCACAACTGTATTATAGTTATATCAAACATTAAATTAAGGAGATGTTACTGTATATGCAAAAAAACACAGGACAGGGGGGCAGGGATCCTTATGGCTGTTTTCTTAGCCTCTTGATTTCTGAATTTTCTCCAGCTCAAATGGTGTGACAATACCTTCAATGTGTCAGATTTTGCAGGTCTCAATATTTATGTTCCTTATAGAATATGTCAGTTTCCAGTAATACAAGCCTGACTGTATATAATATCAACATCCAGATACATGTTTTAGTATATTTCTGTCCACAGAATGTGATCAGTGAGGCGAGTTCCCTGGACTACATCCTACCAGAACTGAAGAAGGTAGATCAGGACCTGGGGAATGAGATCCCTGTAGCAGAGAACCACACCCAGGTGGCATTAGACCATGCCGAGAAACTTCTACGTCAAGCTGACGTCCTGGAGAAGTAGGTGGTCTGGTGCAGCCAGGTGTAATAATTATGTTTTATATCCTTACTTGTGAGTTGCTGTTCAGGGTTTAAGGAGATCGAGATTGGATATCATTATAGATTGATCTTTTTTTTTTTACACACCATAAAATGGAAAAAGAAGGCTTATACATCTTTCTTTGTGAATACATGATTTTAAAAAAAATTGTATATTTCAGTATTTTCATATTTCGATTATGTGTAACTCTTTCAGTCAGTGAGATATGTGGTTTGTACTTAGGATGTTTGAGAAGTCATGAGCTGACGCCAAACTTTCAGTCAGTAAGATATGTGGTTTGTGCTTAGGATGTTTGAGAAGGCGAGAGCTGACGCTGAACTTTCAGTCAGTAAGATATGTGGTTTGTACTTAGGATGTTTGAGAAGTCATGAGCTGACGCCAAACTTTCAGTCAGTAAGATATGAGGTTTGTACTTAGGATGTTTGAGAAGGCGAGAGCTGACGCTGAACTTTCAGTCAGTAAGATATGTGTTTTGTACTTAGGATGTTTGAGAAGGCGTGAGCTGACGCAGAACTTTCAGTCAGTAAGATATGTGGTTTGTGCTTAGGTTGTTTGAGAAGGCGAGAGCTGACGCCAAACTTTCAGTCAGTAAGGTATGTGGTTTGTACTTAGGATGTTTGAGAAGGCGAGAGCCGACGCCAAACTTTCAGTCAGTAAGATATGTGGTTTGTGCTTAGGATGTTTGACAAGGCGAGAGCTGACGCCAAACTTTCAGTCAGTAAGATATGTGGTTTGTACTTAGGATGTTTGAGAAGGCGAGAGCCGACGCCAAACTTTCAGTCAGTAAGATATGTGGTTTGTGCTTAGGATGTTTGAGAAGGCGAGAGCTGACGCCAAACTTTCAGTCAGTAAGATATGTGGTTTGTACTTAGGATGTTTGAGAAGGCGAGAGCTGACGCAAAGCTTCCACTGAAGGCAGCTAACATTTACAAGAACATTGTAAGTGCGATAGAGGAGGCCGAGGAGGCAGCTCTCAGGGCACTGGCTGCTGCTGACAACTCCACAGATCTGGTAAACAATCAAAATGTTTAAATTGTCCAATTAAAAGTAAAATCACTATTATAATCACAAGTAGGTCATCATTAAAATGATAAATATGTACCAGGGTATGCGTTAAAATCAGAAATATGTAATCATTATAATCACAAATATGTCATCGTGAAAACCATAAATATATTAAACCACCAATATGTCATTGCTATAACCACCAACATGTGCTGAAAAAAGTAATTATACAGTCAGTAAAGAATGGTGTATTGAAATATTTACAGTTAAATGGTAATTTATGAACCACTAGCTGCCTCAGATACATTCAGAATATCTAAAACAAAATGGTATTATCTCCCCTTAGATTGATCTTGACCGGATCAAGGACACAGTAGGAAAGTCAGTCAATAGGAGCAGAGATCTAATGAAGAGGGCCAACAAAGCTAGAGCGGATGTCACAGGTATGACTGAAATGGGATCCTTAATTTTGTTCCCGATCACTAAAGTCATCTATAAGTTATGAGACCAAATCTTGTGATGATTTTGATGTTATAATCATAATGTTGGAGATAATTTGCCAATACCAATACATCGGCTATTCCATTGATAAAATAAAAATTGAAAATCATAGTAAAAATCAATACCTTTGTCTGCAATCCTGTTTATAGTACTATAATATTGACATTTTGAAGTTTAATTCTTGATAAAATATTTGTATGAAACAGCTCATTCAGACTGTAAAATGTGAAACACATATTTACAGCATAACTGTCAACCCTCCATCACTAGGAGGGAGACTCCCTCATTTTGACCAGAATTTACCAATCTCCCTCTAAACTCCCTCATTCAAGTCCAAACTCACACTAATTCAAAATCTACATCCTGTGGTCAAATGATCTCCAGGTTACTGCAGGTGTGGGTAATGATCATAACAGGTGTGTCTGAAGCAAATGATCTCCTAGTTACTGCAGGGTGTGGGTAATGATCATAACAGGTGTGTCTGAATCAAATGATCTCCTAGTTACTGCAGGGTGTGGGTAATGATCATAACAGGTGTGTCTGAATCAAATGATCTCCTAGTTACTGCAGGGTGTGTGTAATGATCATAACAGGTGTGTCTGAATTAGATTAATGCTTTTTTTTTAGTTATTTTGATACATAAAAAGGGAAAGATGATATGAGCAAAGCAGTTTCAGTCGCAATTCAAGCACTATCTCCCTCATTGGAAACGTGGAATGAGGGAGATCTACCTCATTGGAGGTTTTAGAGGTTGACACCTATGTTACAGTGATGAATATGATTGGTTCAAGAGGCCTATGACTTATGAGTAAGAAGCTTACAAGTCTAGCCTCATAATGTAGCAGTATAATTTGTTGATCTAAAGGAGAGAACTTGATCTTACATTTTTCCTTGAGCTGATTACAAATGATTTAGTGATCATGTCCTTTTGTTTTTGATCACAGAACTGACCGGGGACCTAAAGGCTATGGAGAATACACTGGACAATGTAAACAAAACTCAAGCCAACACTCGGGACAAACTACATGCTACTGACCAGGATATGAAAAAACTACCTAAAGGTGTGGTACTACTTCTTCTATTGTAAATATTGTAGATTCATTCAACACTTCTAATAAGTGTGTATATACCATGAGTGTCTGCATGGTACACCTTTGTCAACTGAATTTTGTCTTTAGAACTGCATTGTGTCACAGCCTAGCTGTTTTACTTGCAGAGTTAAACACTGTGTGCAACAAAAAGTATTACAGGTCAATTGCTGGCTGTTAACATTCAGAAAAACAGATTCTCCTTACTATAAGTAAAACTATAATTGTATTTAATAAAATGTTAAATGAGGTTCCACTTAAACCTTTGTTACTGTATTTCTTTACCAAGATATCATAACTATTTATTTTCTATTGATGAATAACTATGTAATGCATTAATCAAATGATATCGATGATTCCAGTCTATGAAGTATGATGTCACTATTTCTTGTGTACATGTCACTGTTTCTTGTGTAGAAAGTATGATGTCATGTTTCCTGTGATCTGTTTAGATGTAAGTGACAGAGCTAGGGCGGTGATGAAGGATATAAGTGATACAGAGACATCAATGAAAGCCACCAAGGACAAGGTCAAGGGCATCCAAAACAACATCAACAGTGACCTCATCCCTAAACTGAAATCAATGCAGGATTTCAACATAGACAGAATAGCTGTTGATGTCCAAAATTCAGGTTTGTTTAATTCATACATCGCCTGGTACATCTGTTTTACTAAGGCAGTTCACATACATATGACAAAAGAAATAGTCCAGGCTGAAATTTCGAATTTTTCTTATTCATATTTTGAACTAGTATTTTGAGGTCTTAGTACATTAGAGTAAAGGGAAGACCTTTTATTATGAAATCCTTTAATTATGAAATCTATAGTGGAGAGTATTTAGGGTAGCCAACATATTTGATATAAACAGCTGTTTATGATATAAAAGTTGCATTTGAAATACAGTGTTGGTTCATGTCTATTTATATAGCCAACAACGTAACTGCAAACATCCGGAGTATCCAGGCCATTATAGATGATGTAGAGGCTGCCTCAAACAAAACCAAGGAAGAGGAGACACGACTGGAGGCCAAGCTTAAAAAACTCCGGGATAGCATCAAACAGGCTCGTGCTCAGGCCGAAAAGGTAAGACTACTCACAGATACGGATGAATCAAGTCTCATAAGTTTGGAAATATGATATGTACCATACATACTGATCATTGTTGACCTCTGACTTGTACACCTGTTCTGGTGATATTGGTAGCCACCATTGTTAGACCTACCTGTATTTTTCGTCCAGGACATCATGGTATGTTTCTCATTGAACTTTTATGTTGCCGACAGGTGAAGGTTTCTCTATCAACATCTGGCAGTTGTTCCCGGTCGTTTGTTCCTCAGACACAGCCTCGTACCACAAACAGTATCAACTTCATCTTCAAAACCAACAACTCTGATGCCGACATGTTGATAGTCATCGTTCAGAAGAGTCCTCAGGTAGGTCGCCTAGCAACAAGCAGGATAGTCTGTACCTGATTAAAGTTTACTACCTTTCAATGGAGGTTAGGAAAGGTGTTCAGCTGATTCAAGTTTAAGTTAGGATGGTTGTTCAACGCATCCTAGATCTGGTTCTTGTTATGAGGGTATTCAATGCATCTAAGATTAAGTTCAGAGGGTATGTTTTAAACTTATCTGTGTTCAAGAGGAGTATTCAACTCATTAAAATAAAGTCAACCTAGTTCTCTACTGCAAAGAAACTTTTAAGGTTTTATAATAATGTAAATCTTTGTATTCTCTTTAAATCAAAATTATGTGTAAGGTTTTGAGCATTTCTGTGATTTTTCCCGGTGATGTGCATGTTTCTAATACTGTTACAGGAGTACATGGCTCTGGATCTGATTAGGGGTAAGATACACTTCTCCTGGGATGCGGGCAGCGGGCCAGGCTCTGTCACCAACGATATGATCATCAGAAACGAGGATAACTTCATTGTAGAGAACAAGAAGTGGTACCACGTTAGTGCTAAAAGGTTTGTTTCACTAATACAGGTTAAATGTACTGAAGGGTTTGTCTTCTAAGTAACACATGTTCAATTGATTTGTTCTCTTACTGATACATGAATAGTCTGTCTTTCTTTTAACACATGTCATAGTATGGTCTGTCTTTCTTTTAACACATGTCCTTGTAAGGACTGTCTTTCTTTTAACACATGTCGTCGTAAGGTCTGTCTTTCTTTAAACACATGTCATCGTAAGGTCTGTCTTTCTTTAAACACATGTCGTCGTAAGGTCTGTCTTTCTTTAAACACATGTCGTCGTAAGGTCTGTCTTTCTTTAAACACATGTCATCATAAGGTCTGTCTTTCTTTTAACACATGTCGTCTTAAGGTCTGTCTTTCTTTTAACACATGTCGTCGTAAGGTCTGTCTTTCTTTTAACACATGTCATAGTATGGTCTGTCTTTCTTTATCACATGTCAAAGTATGGTCTGTCTGTTTCTCACTAATACATGCTACTGAAAGGTCTGTCTTTCTTTTAACACATGCCGTCGTAAGGTCTGTCTTTCTTTAAACACATGCCGTCGTAAGGTCTGTCTTTCTTTTAACACATGTCGTCGTAAGGTCTGTCTTTCTTTATCACATGTCAAAGTATGGTCTGTCTGTTTCTCACTAATACATGCTACTGAAAGGTCTGTCTTTCTTTTAACACATGTCATCGTAGGGTATGTCTTTCTTTATCACATGTCATTGTAAGGTCTGTCTTTTCACTAACACATGTCATCGTAGGGTCTGTCTTGTCACTAACACATGTTATCATAGAGTCTGTCTTTTCACTAGCACATGTCATCGTAGAGTCTGTGTTTTCACTAACACATGTCGTTGTAAGGTCTGTCTTTCTTTTAACACATGTCATTGTATGGTCTGTGTTTTCACTAACACATGTCGTTGTAAAGTCTGTCTTTCTTTTAACACATGTCATCGTAAGGTCTGTGTTTTCACTAACACATGTCGTTGTAAGGGCTGTCTTTCTTTTAACACATGTCATCATAGGGTCTGTCTTTTCACTAACACATGTCATCTTAAGGTCTGTCTTTTCACTAACACATGTCATCGTAGAGTCTGTCTTTTCACTAACACATGTCATCATAGGTCTGTCTTTTCACTAACACATGTCATCATAGGTCTGTCTTTTCACTAACACATGTCATCATAGGTCTGTCTTTTCACTAACACATGTCATCATAGGTCTGTCTTTTCACTAACACATGTCATCATAGGTCTGTCTTTTCACTAACACATGTCATCATAGGTCTGTCTTTTCACTAACACATGTCATCATAGGTCTGTCTTTTCACTAACACATGTCATCATAGGTCTGTCTTTTCACTAACACATGTCATCATAGGTCTGTCTTTTCACTAACACATGTCATCATAGGTCTGTCTTTTCACTAACACATGTCATCATAGGTCTGTCTTTTCACTAACACATGTCATCATAGGTCTGTCTTTTCACTAACACATGTCATCATAGGTCTGTCTTTTCACTAACACATGTCATCATAGGTCTGTCTTTTCACTAACACATGTCATCATAGGTCTGTCTTTTCACTAACACATGTCATCATAGGTCTGTCTTTTCACTAACACATGTCATCATAGGTCTGTCTTTTCACTAACACATGTCATCATAGGTCTGTCTTTTCACTAACACATGTCATCATAGGTCTGTCTTTTCACTAACACATGTCATCATAGGTCTGTCTTTTCACTAACACATGTCATCATAGGTCTGTCTTTTCACTAACACATGTCATCATAGGTCTGTCTTTTCACTAACACATGTCATCATAGGTCTGTCTTTTCACTAACACATGTCATCATAGGTCTGTCTTTTCACTAACACATGTCATCATAGGTCTGTCTTTTCACTAACACATGTCATCATAGGTTCACTGAAGAATTTGTCTTTTCACCTGTATGTCCATGTGTCCATGTATCCTTTAAGGTTGGTCTTCCATTACTAATTCATTAATACATGTCTAACCACAGATTTGTCTACATACTAACACATTGTCAATTTAGAGTTTTCCTTACTAATTAATGTCACTGAAGTGTTTGTCTTTTCAATAATACATGTTCAATGAAGACGTAATAATCCCAAGTTAAAATTTAGTCTTACCAGATACGAGATAACAGTGGACTATTATATATTTCTAGGATTGGACGTGTGGGGACCCTTGAGGTTTATAAGATGGACAACCCGGGAGGTGTTGTGTCAGCCACTGGGTCTGCCCCCATAGGGAGGACCATCCTCCAGCTGGACCCCTCGGATGACCTGTATGTCGGTGGAGTGCCTAAATCCTACAACGTAAGTAAAACGTCTGGGGTGGGAGGAGTCATTTATTTAAGTACACCATCATGCAGTGAATTTTATTGCCTTGTTTTACAGCCTAAAATAGGCTGCTTCCCCTACTAAAATATGCTTTATTTTTTCCAAATGAAGTAAAAATTAAGAAAATCTTTCCAATTTCAATAAAAATCATGATTTATTTTTCCAACATCATGCAGGAGAAAACACCATCCTTCCAACTTGACCTCTGGTAAGTGATCATTTGTTGCTTTGGGGGGATTTAGCTGTCACGCTGGGTTGTCTGTGCATCCGTAGCACTTGTCCGGATGGTAACTTGAGAACGGACGATCCTACAAAGTAAACATACATTTTGGTGTGTTACAGATGGCTTCAGCTGTAGCCAGAGGAAACATGTCAGGCTGTATGGGAGAATTGTTTATAGACGACGTGCGTGTTGGACTTCACAACTTTAAACAGTCGTATGGGACATGTGGAGGCTGCAGAGATGTGTATGTATGGTCAGAGATTCCCTATCAGGATCATATAAATCTGAGTTATGAATGAGTAATATTTAAGCTATATTGTTCATCATTTTTTTAAATCAGTTTGTAATACATGTATAGTCAGTCACTCGAACAGTGAAAAATATTTGTGACATGTCAGATTATTTTTTAGGTCTTGGTGCACAATAGTTTAATACTTTCAATATTGTTTTGTAAATTGCTCCTGTATTCTTGTTTTATCTTGTATTTGTTCACTGTTTTTCAGTCCATCTCCTGGCAGTCTTGCTACAGATACCTTCAACTTTGATGGGACCGGTTATTCATCCCTCCAACAGGATGACAAATACATCAGTGTCCGATCATTCATCAAGTTTGAGTTCAAAACTTTCTGGGAAAACACCACCCTTCTGTTCTCTGGAAACCCTGTGTCTGTGAGTCCTGACTTTTCTAACTTGCACATTGGGGGAGGGGGCTAGCTGTAAGATGATATCTTATATTGTGTCATAAACAGTAATATGATGGTTGAATATATATCACTAATGGTGTTAAAATGGTCGTATGTATCCTAAATATCATTAAAACATAACATTTTATACATCAATATAATTACAACAGTTGGATATGCTCTATGTAGAAAACAAGAGAAGCAGATTTGGCGTTTGTTTCAGTGGCTTTGTTCACATAAGTAATTTTGGTAATGATTTATTTAAACAATTTTATTTTTAATATTTCATCCAGGTTTTTTCAGGTTTGATATCCATACTTTTACTGTATCAATAATGCCTTTCATTGTACAAGTAAAATATTCTCAACGCATACACTTTTTGACTGTCTATTGAACTGTAGATAAATATACAACATACAGAATTTGATATTGTGCAAAGAGATTTTATATGATATGTGGTTCTTTTCAGGGAGATTTTATATATTTGAGCCTGCTAAATGGACATGTTATGGCCCACATTTACATGGGTGGGCAGAGTCACATACGTCTGGAGACCAACAAAACGTACAATAACAATCAGTGGCATAAGGTGCTCCTCAACCGGAACAAACTCGAGGGTACATTACCATCCACCATCTTGCTTGTGTTACCATGACAACAGATTGCACACTAAAACTCTCACCAACCTGTTGTTATTGGGGCTTGTACAATGAATACAGATGCACCTTAAGTGAAAAATCTGCAATATTTTCAAAATTATTGAAATTTCTCTATTTTCGAGAGAGAAAAATTTGGACTGTACAGGTGCTAACAGAAATGTGCATGTACTGAAAGGCCCCAATGGCATACAGACAGATCTAACATTGGTTTGTGGCATTCAAGTAACGGTTTGGTTTCAGGTGGTTGCTATGCACAGTACCATGGTGATGTGATCAGTGGCTGCATGCTGATTAACAAAATAATTCACATTTCAGGGAGATTTTATCATGCTTGAGCTTGTTAATGGCAAGGTGATCTTGGCATTCGACCTAGGGGGCATGAGCTATGCTCGGACAGAAACCAAAAATTCATACAATAATGGCAGCTGGGTGAAAGTCGCGGTCCAGCGCACTCGCACGAGCGGTACATCTCCTTCTGACCTTGTGTTTGTCAGGTCAAGGTCACATACTGCAGTCAACTGCTGTCTTCATCTCCCATGTTTTTCTGACCACTTCAATAGAGCCCTTTTTTAGTCAATCAGTAAAGGATTAGTGGATATTCACTCATTGGTTTTCAAACTTCTAAAAATATATAGACAAAAGAAGATTGCAAAATGTGACTTTGTAAGCAGATTGCTTTGTGCGTTTCTGTAAACATATCAACAGTTCACACAAAGTATACCAACAAAATGTAAGCACGACTCTTCTTCTCATGTAAACCATCAGAGATCACATTTTTCCTTTGACACATATTCCTATGGTATTGTATAAAACAGAAATTACGTAGAAATATTATTTACGTAAATTGAACTGTAGTTGAATGTATTTGAGCTGTTGAATGTTTATATGAAATTCAAGTACATGGATCTTTGTATGCTTGGGGCTTGAATGTATACAAACATCATATTTCATGGCAAGCCATTTTGATATCAAAATTATCATACATTGTACAATGTTCTTACACAACTGAAGTGCAAAACCCTTTTTTGCCGTTATGTGGTGTAATAATGTCATTGCCTACTATACTGGCAAAATTCTGTTTTAATGTAACCTTTTCTTTTGTAAGATAATGCAAACATACAATTTAAATATCTACTACAAAATATGTGTCTTGAGTGAAAAAAAAAAAAAAATTCAACTTGACGGAGTTTTACACAAGTTTATATGTAAAAAAAACTGTTTTGCCATCATGTGTAAGATCAGTTTATTTCTTTTAATGTCAAATCTTTCAAACAGACTTGCCATAATATTGTATGTAGTACTAGGCTGCCATTTCAATATCACTGAACTATATAAATATTTGATAATAACATATTAACCATCAATCACATTTGTTAATGCACATTGTATGATGTATAAAAACTATTTATCTGACATGTTTTTATGTGCATGTATCAAACGTTTCTGTGTCATCTACCACACAGAGTTACTTCATATTACCCTAAAATACCCTTATTATTAAATCTTTCTTTTTCTTCAAGACTTCATTTTTAATTGTCTAAAAGTCAGTGATGTTTTCTTATTATTAATTTTAAGAAATTGAAAAAAAAGAATGTTTTCAGTCATTCTTAAAAAGTGTTTTATGATTTTAAACTCATGTAATTTATTGAAGTAAGTCTGTATGTGATACATATCGAAATGCATGCACTATTTCTCATGGGTTTGGGGTTATCTCCCTTTGCATGGTAAGCCTATATATTTCTGTGGTTTGTTTTTCTTTGTTATATGCCAGTAACAAACAGTATAGCTCCAGTGGTATATATTATTATCACCAGTGGTATATACTACTGTCACCAGTTCCACTGTAATTGTTAATGTACCTTCATTGTTGTTTAATCTTATCATATTGAACAGACTAATTTTTATTTGATAATTTTCATACAGGATTAAGTTTGAAAATATTTTCAATTGAATTGTTTGTTATAGGAAATTAATTGTAATTTGTCAGGTCCAGTAAACTTGACTGATGTAGATAGATGATATTTAGATACTTTGTGTGTATTCTGCATGTTCAATGTTTAAACTCAATGGGCATTATAGCATGTTCACTGTTTATACTCAATGGGTATTATAGCATGTTCACTGTTTATACTCAATGGGTATTCAGCATGTTCACTGTTGATACTCAATTGGTATTCAGCATGTCCACTGTTGATACTCAATGGGCATTACAGCATGTTCAATGTTGAAACTCAATGGGTATAACAGCATGTTCAATGTTGAAACTCAATGGGTATTACAGCATGGTTACTGTTGATACCCCATGGGCATTCAGCATGTTCACTGTTGATGATCAACGGGTATTAAGTATGTTCACTGTTGATACTCAATGGGCATTACAGCATTTTCAATGTTGAAACTCAATGGGTATTACAGCATGGTTACTGTTGATACTCCATGGGCATTCAGCATGTTCATTGTTGATACTCAATTGGTATTCAGCATGTTTACTGTTGATATGCTATGGGTATTCAGCATGTTCACTGTTGATACTCAATGGGTATTCAGCATGTTCACTGTTGATACTCAATGGGTATTCAGCATGTTCACTGTTGATACTCCATGGGTATTCAGCATGTTCAATGTTGATACTCAATGGGTATTCAGCATGTTCACTGTTGATACCCAATGGGTATTCAGCATGTTCATTGTTGAAACTCAATGGGTATTCAGCATGTTCACTGTTGATATGCTATGGGTATTCAGCATGTTCACTGTTGATACTCAATGGGTATTCAGCATGTTCACTGTTTATACTCCATGGGTATTCAGCATGTTCAATGTTGATACTCAATGGGTATTACAGCATGTTCAATGTTGATACTCAATGGGTATTACAGCATGTTCACTGTTGATATGCTATGGCCATTACAGCATGTTCACTGTTGATACTCAATAGGTATTCAGCATGTTCAATGTTTATACTCCATGGGTATTCAGCATGTTCACTGTTGATACTCAATGGGTATTCAGCATGTTCACTGTTGATAATCAATGGGCATTACAGCATGTTCACTGTTGATATGCTATGGCCATTACAGCATGTTCACTGTTGATACTCAATGGGTATTCAGCATGTTCAATGTTTATACTCCATGGGTATTCAGCATGTTCACTGTTGGTACTCAATGGGTATTCAGCATGTTCACTGTTGATACTCAATGGGTATTCAGCATGTTCACTGTTGATACTCAATGGGCATTACAGCATGTTCACTGTTGATACTCAATGGGCATTACAGCATGTTTACTGTTGATACTCAATGGGTATTTCAGCATGATCACTGTTGATACTCAATGGGTATTCTATTGAAATTCAATGGGCATTACAGCATGTTCAATGTTGATACTCAATGGGTATTACAGCATGTTCACTGTTGATATGCTATGGCCATTACAGCATGTTCACTGTTGATACTCAATTGGCATTACAACATTTTTACTGTTGATACTCAATGGGTATTTCAGTATGATCACTGTTGATACTCAATGGGTATTCAGCATGTTCACTGTTGATACTCAATGGGCATTACAGCATGTTCACTGTTGATACTCAATGGGCATTACAACATGTTTACTGTTGATACTCAATGGGTATTTCAGCATGATCACTGTTGATACTCAATGGGTATTCAGCATGTTCACTGTTGATACTCAATGGGTATTTCAGCATGTTCAATGTTGATACTCAACGGGTATTAAGCATGGTTACTGTTTAAACTCAACGGGTATTAAGCATGGTTACTGTTTAAACTCAATGGGCATTATAGCATGTTCACTGTTGATACTCAATGGGTATTACAGCATGGTTACTGTTGATACTCAATGGGCATTACAGCATGTTCAATGTTGAAACTCAATGGGTATTAAGTATGTTCACTGTTGATACTCAATTGGTTTTCAGCTTGTTCACTGTTGATACTCAATGGGCATTCAGCATGTTCACTGTTGATACTTAATGGGCATTACAGCATGTTCAATGTTGAAACTCAATTGGTTTTCAGCTTGTTCACTGTTGATACTCAATGGGCATTACAGCATGTTCAATGTTGAAACTCAATTGGTTTTCAGCTTGTTCACTGTTGATACTCAATGGGTATTCAGCATGTTCACTGTTGATACTCAATGGGTATTCTGCATGTTCAGACACAGCCTTTTCTGTTTCCTCAGACTTCACTATCTTCCTCTTATATCTTTAACAAACTTACTAACACAGGCAATGCTTCTAATTAAGTGTTTTAAACCTACTACATAATGTATTTATTTTTTGTTTTGTACTTGAAATAAGATTACCTGCCAGATGTCTCTATTTTTTTCGATATGATGTAAAAAAAAAAATAGCCCTTTTTGAATTAGAATGATTTACAATTTGAACATTGAAAGGCATAATGTCTGAACCAATGTATTAAAATATCAAACTGTATTAAACATGATTGATTGTGGTAAATATTCTCCATTAAACAAATCCTTCCTGTCAGTATCACACTGATTGAATAGCATCAACCCCATTACTATACATAAATGCTATATCTGATTGACCTTCAACTTTGACATTTCTGTAGCCTTTTTGTCGGTTGGAGATGCGGATGAGGCTATTGCTGAGGCCGCCCCCGGTAACACAGGACTGGAACTCAAGTTTGTGCCCTTGTTCTTTGGAGGGGTACCTGAGAGCTTTGATCTGACACCATTCCAAAAAAGGTGAGAACGACAATAGTCTGAAGAAAGAAAATCATGCATGTAACAAAATATTTTTTCTGTCATTAGGTGTATTAGTTAAAGAGAAGTACTAATGTAGTAGCATTATCAATGGTCAACATCATACAGCACCTATTTACACATGTTAAATGTCTATGGTAGATTTTCGAGGAGATAATTATGTGATATTGGGAGAGTTATGATTAGTCTAATATACTGATTCTTCCTAGCAGTGAAATGATTTTCCAATTGATCATGTTATATTATTCACACTGCAAATACATGAAATGTTTGACAATCTTGTGAAATATTTTTAACAACCACAACAAGCATTTAACTTCGACTTGTACTAGAATCTTTTGCAATAGAATCCATTTTAAAAGGTCAAATTTCAGGTGCAGTATATGAGACTGGTTAAAATCATTGAAATTTAATCCATGAATAAAATAATTTAAAAGGACACCACTGAGAGTTGTCTTATGTCATTAGGGGTGTCCTCCCCAGCATGCCTTACCTAGGATGTATGCAGAAAGTCCAGGTAGACCTGAAGACGAGGGACCTACTCCAGGGGAACTCAGTCGGAGTCAAACAGGGCTGTCCCATATCTGTAAGTTGTAAGCTCTGTGTCATAGGAAATGTGTGCTGTTTAGTCAGAAAATAAGCCCAAATATCCTACGATTGTTAATACCAATAGAAACCTGCGCAGTAAGATTTATAAATGTAATAGTAAGGTCTACATACAGAACTAAAAATAATTCATGTTATAAATGTATGGACGGTATATCAATTAACATTCATTCTTACCAGGGTTATCGTAAAGTTGGATTCTATGGCAATGGTTTTGCAATGTATGATGGAAGTCCACTGGCAAAAGATGCAGGCGAGGTATCTCTGTCCTTCACCTCGACACAGAAGGACACCATGCTTCTTCTCGCCAAGGACACTGACCAGGAGGTAAGGTTGCACTCTCATAGCCTGCGAGCTCTGTCCTCAGACACCCTACTTACTGAAGCCATGCTTGTAACCCCTGAAGCACACAAATCTTACATATGTGATTACTGCCATTTCCTCTATCATCCATTGTAATGTTTCAACCATTTTATCCATTATTTTGTGAATATTCCATTAATTTGATCTGTAGCATTTTAAATCTAATTTAATAGTCCAATGTCTTTGTAAAGAAACTGTAACAAAATATTTGCTCTCTGGTTCTTTGTAATTTAAATTTTTGTATTTTGTATTTTTTTCTTTTCTTTTCTTTTTTGTAAGTGCTGTTTCCAGACATGTGCAATATTGCAAAATTATTCTTTAAATCTTTTATATTGTTTAGTCAATGAATAAATAAAATGAATCTGTGGATCATGATCTGAATATACAAGCCTAAGGTATGCAGTCATACCTACTAAGTTATTTTGTATAACCACATTTTATGATTTCAAAATGAAAACTTGTTTCTATGATAATAATGAACAGTTGACCTTGGTTAAATGTTTGACCATGGCTAATTGTGTTTGACGTGCCTGGACACAGTATACATGTGCTGGTCCTGTCCTATTGTCAGTGTTACTATCAGTCTTAATTTCCTCTCCTCTGTAAAATGATGTTCTGGCTTTGTTATACATACCTGCACTGCATATTTCTGAACAAAGGATTCTTTTACGTTGACCTTCTGAATGTGAACCTGACCTTTATCATGTGATGTCTGTAAATATGAACTTGATTTATGTGAATTTGACCTCTGTTTAACCTTATGAACTTGATGTATGTGAATTTGACCTCTGTTTAACCTGCCACTGTCCACTTTTCCCTACAGCCTAATTCGGAGCCCAAGGTAACAATGACAACAATTGATAACAAAATCAATCAACTATATTAGCCTTGATCTGTACGGGGTCAGAGGTCATGAAGGTATAGCAACATACATGAAGCATTTAAAACCCCGATGATTCTGACAGAGGTATTACAAACTTTGACAGCAGAAGACCGGCAGTTTTTATAATGATCGCAAACCACCGTAGATGGTTGCTGAAAGTGTTGTAGCAAACTTTGACCTCAGAAGATAGCTCTGGTGTATTTGTAATGACCTTTGACCAAAGAAGATGGCTCTGTATGTGTAATGACTTTTGACCTCAGGAAATGGCTCTGATATATATAAGTGTAATGACCTTTGACCCCTGGAGAGAGCTCTGGCATATATGTAGTTGTATAATAATTTTAAAAAATATGTGATGGTGATTTAAGCTACATATAAAGTTTAAGTTCATTCTAACAAAATACTTTTTCCTTTAACTATTTATTCTTAACTACTAAAGTAAAGGGTATCAAGAGAAAGAATTTCGAAATTGGTGTCTGAAGATAATTTAGAATACATGTATTCCGTCTTTGCGTCTTGCAGAGTTATCTTCTCTTGTGAGCAGGTATTGATTGTTACGTCATTGGTTTGTGTGAAAAATTACGTCATTTTCTCAAAAATTGATGACGTTACTCTCACAAACAAATGACGTAACAATCAATACCTGCTCACAAGTGCAGATAACTCTGCAATACGCAAAGATGGAATAGCTTCAATAAATGTGTCATTGCTTCAGTATATGTCTATACCAAAATTTATTACAAATATATGGCACAGTACTCAATATTCTTCTCCCCTGATCAGTACAGCTTACAACTGCAGTTAATCTTTTTATTTTCATTCACAAATAAATGGCACACTCCAGGGGTGCTGCGTTTTCTCCTAATTCTTTTTGACAGTAACTCTGTAACCATCTGGTATATGGCAAGGGGGATAACTCCTATTACAGTCACAGGCTAATGCTGTTTGTAACCTATTTACTCAGTGCTTTGTATTACTGGTATAACACACTGTAATGATCAGCATATCAATAATATTTATCTAATGTATGATGTATGATGATTATGCAAGAACAAATGTGAAGTTATTGAAGGGAGTGCAGCATGAGAAAGTCAAGGTAGACAATGCAAGTTAAAAATCTTTCTACATAAAATGTGAGCCCATCTGGTGCAAAAGTACAGCGGCCTGTCAAATAATTTCAAATAAATTTGAAAGGTCTTAGCAGTCAAATGTCTGATAAACATCAAACAACTTTTTCTACATTACCATGAGGCCTAGAGTCATGTAGCTTGCTTTAAGGTGAAAGACTATAAAATTTGTTCAGTGGAATGACCTTGACCAATTTTCAAAGTGACATACATTGTAGGTCTCTTGGGTATATTTTTCATCCAAAGTTCTAAATTCAATGGGAGTGTGTTATGATTTGCTCTACATGAACAACTGGACAATGGGAATCAGTTTTGTAATCTGCTTGTTATAAGTGTAGCTGCATCAGATGGACTGGTATCCAAGCAGAGCCGAATAAAAATGATGTACTGTACGTAATTCATTGGATGCAATCACTGGAAGTCATACTCACTTTATGGACATGTGTCAAACTATTCCAAAATTTGGGTGTCTTGGTTTTATAAAACCCAAAATGAAAGATTCTAAACTTGCATGGACTACATTATATTAAAACTTTCTCTATTTATTATGTCAGTTGCCATTGGCATGGTGTGAAATGGCATGATGGAGTTTGAGTGAAACGTTTTATTTTTCAATTCAATCAAATAATTTTTCACATGTTATGTTGCTATGAGAATGTTTCACATATTTTGACTTTGCTCTGCATTTGTTGTCTGTCCATCATCTTTTGTATCTACCATACTTTTCACTTAGATCTACTGTACTATTCATTGTTAAGAAAGAAGACACATAAATGTATATGGAAACTCTTGGATAAACAGTCTATATAGTTATATTAATTAGTATCTAATCATACACAATCTGGGTTTCAAATTAAGTCAAAATCAAGTGCATCTCAAATTATGGGGAGAGGACAGAGGATACTTATTTTCTGTATATTTTCAATATCTGGGTACCACTATTAAGTAATGATGTAGAAATTATTAATGGTCAGGTCAAACATGTATATGGGCGAAATATGTACCATAAAGAGTTGTCTGTGTAGTCACATTAATTTTGAAATAACAAATTTCATTGAGTGTGATTGTTGTAGGAAGATAACATATTGAACATATTTACCAGTGAGAAAAGCACATCGTTAGAATTGAATAAAACATTTAGTATAAGGCAGACTTGTACTAACTGAACATTGTCTAATGGTTGTAGTGGGATTTCTTTACTTTGGTGTCTTATTCAGTTTTTCACCTGAACAAATAACCAAATATCTGGTGTTCATGTAAGTGTAAAAAATATCCATGTATTTCATCTAACATCACCACTAACACCATACAACTCACTGGGATGTGTTAGGTTTATTACTTAGGTGATAATATAGTTATAATTGGTAAACAGCCAAGCTCTGAAATCCTATTCATATACTCTCAATGGATTTTTTTTATTTGGTCAACATTTATAATCTGAGAAATTTCATTTGATGAAGTGCTGTCATTTTCTAAAAGAAAAAGCTTTCAATTTAGCATGATTTTTTCATTGAATATCATTGTTTTAATGTTTTACTTGCATTTTCTCCCTTTACAATTTCTTTAAAGTTATCTCCCCTTGATGACATGACTATTGCTATTTTCAGAACTTCTACTCGTTGGCATTGGTAGACGGCCATGTAGAGGGCAGATTCAGTGGCACTTTTCTACCTGTGACTCTCACCTCCAACAAGAGGTTCAATGATGGTCTCTTACATAATCTGGCTGTCCGCAAAAGCAGAAGGGAGTAAGTTCAACCAGCTATCTTATTGAGTTATAACCTCTGTGGTCAAAAATTCAATTCTTTTGAATTAATGTCTCATACTTGCCAACCTTTAAAATTCTTAATTGGGGAGATTCTGTCAAGTTATATATAAAATTATCTTTAAAAAAAAGTACTTGCATTGACTTCTATATGACAAAATAATATAAAATCCCATAACTTATGCTGTTCTTTGCAGTAGATTAATAGAATTTGAGCAAACTGTTGGTATTTTCTTCAAAAGTCATTATCAAGAGTTAAATTTGAGTCTACCTCCAAGAAAGGTTGACTTGGTGAGAATTTTCTGCATCAGTTGACTTTCATACACACATACGTAACATAAAAACTGTGGCGTTTCTAGGTGAAGAATTATAATGATGCAACTTCAGTATCTACTCTTGAATACCAGGTAATTTTTTTAGACATATTCATTCTAATGTTTTTGTTTAAACTAATAGCCCTTATACAGTATACAGTACACTGGTTACTGTAGATCAGATGAGGTGTATTCACAACTGACCTCAGGTTTTCTGACTGTTACAGAATAGAGCTGTATGTGGACGATGTGTTAGTGGGGATGGGGACTCTACCCGTGGCCACCCAGGGGATCGTAGTCGAGAAGCTTTACCTGGGCGGGGCACCTAATCTCTCCAGCCGTCAAGTGATGGTCGCCAACATCAATGGCTTCAACGGCTGCATCAGTGACATCATCGTCGATGGGAAGTAAGTTACATTTATGCTTGTAGCCAGTTGAATGGAAGTTTTGTTGATGCTTAAAGCCAGTTGAAGAACAGAACACCTGGTCGAGCTGATCAATTTTACTGGTCCAGTCAGACTTTTGCAGATAAAGTTCTTACATATATGTAATTCATAAAATGTAGTGTGTCAAGCATCACTTTTGGTACCCTTGCCTGAAGTGAAATGATTGAAGGTGAAATAATTTTAATACTTTTGTTATTCATGTATTTGTATTCAATTTTTTGTTTACAACATGACGTAACTTTTCTCCTTTAAGGTGATTCTTGTTATTTTTTACAGTATACTGAGCTTGAACAACCCTGAACAGTATGAACATGCTGATATTGGTCGGTGTAGAACACCCATTACTCCCCCTGTCCCCGCTACCCCTGAAACTACCCAAAGACCCACTCCTGCACCTACTCCTGCACCTACTCCTGCTCCTACTCCTGCACCTACACCAAAGCCTACCACCAAGAAACCTACCATGCCTGTGCCTACTACGCCTGAACCCACCACTCCTATGGCCGAACCAACCTCCTGTGCTGACCCAACTGACGAAACAACAGAGTTCATGGCCCTGGCATTTGGAGAATCACCAGAAAGCTTTGGGGAAATTACACTAGACAAGAAGAGTGTCTCATCTGTGTAAGTAGTAACCTTTGTAGACTGATAAAATCAAGCATACAGTAATTAGAAGGTTTTTATAAAGTTTAGCACGAGCTCTTGCTGAGTACAAAACTATAAAATTCTTATCCAAATGTTTGAGTTTTCTCTGTCTGTATCACACAAGAGTGATAGATTATTTTTCTTCCACACTTTCCTATTTTTCTTCCACACTTTCCTACTGAAAAATAAGTTGAATTGGTGAACCCAATGCATCATGCCGTCAACGGTGCATCAATTCAGTGTGAGACAAAACTGATGACGTTCAGTCTGGTTACACTGCATTAAGAGATAATGCGATAGTGTAATTTTCAGAATAACAGCAAGTGTGAGCTGTCTTTCATAAAGTAGGTGAAGATGATTTAACTTTTCCCTACAAAACAGAAATACACATGTGAAATGTGGGAGAAATCTGACATCTGACTTGGCATTTCCAATTATGTTACAAATAATGATAATTTTGTGATTTAGATTTTTAGATTTTTACTTCTTTTTATCAAAACATATAAAAAAAAGTTTTGTTTTTTTTGGTATAATTGAGAGCTGTAAAAAAAAGATGTTAGCAAAATTGTACAACAGTTATTAATCTAAAACACATAGAACAATTTAATTTTACAGAATTGTTTACTCATTAAAGTTATACTAGTACATACACAACACAGTGATGAAAGAAATGTTATTCTTAATCTGTTGATTATTTATTCCCAGATTCAATGTGTCCATTGAGTTCAAAACATTCCTACCTTCTGGATCATTCTTCTACATCACAAACCCTCAGAAGATCGCTTACCTAGCTGTACAGCTTATTGACGGTCATGTTTCTCTCATGTACCGATACAACGGTGACAGTTTTATGCTCAACGACACCAAGACGGTCAATGATGGTCAATGGCATAGACTAGTGGTTAATAAGGGAACCAAACTCATCAAGTTAAGAGTAGATGATGGTCGGGAAAGCAGGGGCCGTGTCCAGAAGAGAATGGAGCTGGAGGGTCCGATGCATGTGGGCGGGGGCTTCCCTACAATAGCCACACCCCCAGGATTGGTGAGTCAACCATGATTGTTGAACTAGGTCCTGTGCAAGTTGGAGACTGGTATAATATTGAAGCTGTAAAAAAAAGGTTTTTTTTATAAATATATTCTCAAAACAGGGCAAGTATCCTGTGCTCAAATCACCATTGAAAATGGTGTTTCAGCCTATTTGATATGTGTAAACTTCATTGTTTAACAGGTTACCCACAGCTTGAGAGGCTGTATAAGAAACTTTCAGATCAATGGTAAAACCATCCTAATCGCTGACGCTGATATCGTCAGTGGTATCAGGAACTGCTACAGGACCATGGAGCCTGGTGTGTACTTCACAGGAGGTGCCCTGGGAGTGTTGGGTAAGTAGCTCTGTATCAATAAGTGTGTACTTCACAGGAGGTGCCCTTGGAGTGTTGGGTACGTAGCTCTGTATCAATATGTATGGTCTCATTATAGAATGTGGCCTAGAATTGGGACGACCAATACCACTGGTTTTATTTATCTGTCTATTTGTGTGGAGCAGTGGATGTGTATTTCCATGTGCTAATTATGACATTAGATTAAGAAGTGTGGATGAAGGGCTTCCAAGTTTGTTCAAATGAATGAACTGTGCTTTTATAGCAAGCCTTTAATTTTATTGTTATCAGGGTCCTGCATCTGAGATACAGATGCACTATAATAATCACAGTGTCTGTCTGTCCTTCCACACTTTCTTTTCTGGAGATTATCTCAGAATCCAAAAGACTATTATTTTGGTAATTTGAAATTGTGATACACTGTGATATGTAAATGTGCAATAGGGGTTTAACAAGTATCTAAGGTCAAGGTTACTACTACTAAATATAGACCATGAGGGATACAGACCTTATCTCAGAATCCAAAATTCTATTTCTTTTGAAATTTGAAGGTCAAGGTCATTGTTACGGTACTCAGTATAGACCAGGAGGGGTACAGTCTTTATCTCAGAACCCTTTTGAAATTTAAAGGTCAATGTCATGTTGCTACTAAGCAAAAAGACCAAGGTGGATAAGGTCAAGGACATGGTAGGGCCCTAGCTGCCCTTTTAGTGCTCTTGTTTGATGCCATATTTTAAACAGAATACTACTCATGATGATGACATATAATGTTTAGTTTGCAGTCAACGGTAACCCAAATGCCCAGGGTGATACCATTTGGTCAGTAGCATGCTGAGATGAAAGGCTACTAAGTTTGTTCAAATGAATGACCTTAAACCATATTCAAGGTCACAGGGGTCAAATTGTTAAAACCTTTATACAACTTCTTCTGAATAACCAAAAGTCGCAGGGTGATGATATATGACCAGTATCATGATGGGATGAAGGGCTACCAAGGGATGAAATGTTTATAAATCTTTTAACAGGTTCTTTAGAAAGACTTTTAATCATAAATACCGATATTTTGCCTTTAGATTTATTCAAGATCACTTTTAAGGTTACAAGTGTGAGATGTATACCAGGTGAGCGATGCAGGCCCATTGGGCCTCTTGTTGTCAAATAGCCATGAAACTTCACAAATATCACCTTTTGTACGAGTTTGTGTCTTGACCTTCTGCAGTCAAACACTTTGTATTTCTGATGAATTTGAAGTGTGAGGGTATTTGTTATGTTTGCAAAGTTTTATTAGTTACCGGTACTCTAACCCAAAGTTCTCATCTGACTGTTTTCTTTTACCTGCTTTATTTCTTGTTTCAGACCGTGAATATGATATTGGATCTAAGATGGTGGTCAGTTTTGCGTTCAGGACACACAAGCCAAATGGTGTGATACTGACCATCAGTGAATCTTCAGGGTCCCCAGCGTTAACACTGGAGCTCTTCCAGGGACAGGTGCGCATATCATCAGTGGTTGTGTAGAACATCTTGTACAGTCAAACCTGTTCATTTGACCACCTCCATTTAGAGATCACCTGTGTTAAGAGACCCAATTTAATATATATTCCTCATTTTGGTGAAAATGTTAGTTTGATCATGATAATGGAGTAATTAATACCTGCCCTGATTAATCAGTACTAGAACAGCGTGTCCACCTTGGAAGGAGATATTGACCCTTAACAAACCCTCAAACAGCTACTTTTCTTTTTATCATGGGTTCGATCATTTATTAAATTATTTTGTTAATCTACAATGTCGTCAGGTTTTAATTGAATAATAAATGAAAGCCTCTTCATTGAACATCTAAGTTTACATTCTCTTGTAAGATTTTACACCAACAGGACAAGGTTGAGGAACTAGGTAGCGCTCAGTTTTACATGACAAGTTGGACAATTTAAACTGTTTTATCAGATACTCAGGCAGCTGTCCTACAGTGTAATAACTCACATTTATATTTGCTGTGCAACATAAGCAGTGTCATCCATTGTGATGTTGCAAGGAACATTATGATGACCGTATACAGTTAAGACAAAAATAATGGTGGAATTTTTCATTTGACTTTTTCCAGTCTGATTGTTCGCAAAATTAATATCTTGGTTGAAAATGTGATACCCGTAAACAGAATTTCAAAATTGTTCTCTTTCCATCTGAATTCTAAAAAATTGACTGAAACTTGATTCATAAAAATTATATGTAATAGAAGCTCTTCATTAAATAAGAGATTGAATCTAACACTGAGTAAAAACTTCAGTTTCTAAGTTGAAAACTTGGATGAAAATGTTTTGGTCGTTATTTTCAGGTTAAAATGACTGTAAGCAACGAAGACAAGTACACAGCAACGACATCAGAGAGTCGATACTCCCTATGTAATAACAAGTGGCACAATGTCGAGGCTAGCGTCATTGGTAACGTCATCAAACTCATCGTAGATGGACAGTCTAAGTTCGGTGTCAGTTCCAGAGATGCTACCTTCATCACGACCGCCTCACCACTGATAGTGGGGGGTGTACCAAGTAAGATCTACAGAGACAATTTGTTTTATGATTGTATGTAATAAATCCTTCATCACGACCGCCTCAGCACTGATAGTGTGGGGTGTACCAAGTAAGATCTACAAGAGACAATTTGTTTTATGATTGTATGTAATAAATCCTTAATCACGACCGCCTCACCACTGATAGTGTGCCCTGTACCAAGTAAGATCTACAGAGACAATTTGTTTTATGATTGTATGTAATAAATCCTTCATTACGACCGCCTCACCACTGATAGTGTGGGGTGTACTGATAGTGGGGGGTGTACCAAGTAAGATCTACAGAGACAATCTGTTTTATGAGTGTATATAATAAATCCTTCATCACGACCGCCTCACCACTGATAGTGGGTTGTGTACCAAGTAAGATCTACAGAGACAATCTGTTTTGTGGTTGTATGTAATAAATCCTTCATCACGACTGCCTCACCACTGATAGTGGGAGGTGTACCAAGTAAGATCTACAGACACAATCTGTTTTATGATTGTATGTACTAAATCCTTCATCACGACCGCCTACCACTGATAGTGGGTTGTGTACCAAGTAAGATCTACAGAGACAATCTGTTTTATGGTTGTATGTAATAAATCCTTCATCACGCCCGCCTCACCACTGATAGTGGGTTGAGGACCAAGTAAGATCTACAGAGACAATTTGTTTTATGATTGTATGTAATAAATACTTCATCACGACCGCCTCACCACGGATAGTGTGGGGTGTACCAAGTAAGATCTACAGAGACAATGTGTTTTATGAGTGTATATAATAAAACCTTCATCACGACCGCCTCACCACGGATAGTGTGGGGTGTACCAAGTAAGATCTGTGGGGGGTGTACCAAGGAAGATCTACAGAGACAATTTGTTTTATGATTGTATGTAATAAACCCTTCATCACGACCGCCCCACCACTGATAGTGTGGGGTGTACCAAGTAAGATATACAGAGACAATCTGTTTTATGAATGTATGTAATAAATCCTTCATCATGACCGCCTCACCACTGATAGTGGGAGGAGTACCAGGTAAGATCTACAGAGACAATCTGTTTTGTGGTTGTATGTAATAAATCCTTCATCATGACCGCCTCACCACTGATAGTGTGGTGTGTACCAAGTAAGATCTACAGACACAATCTGTTTTATGATTGTATGGAATAAATCCTTCATCACGACCGCATCACCACTGATAGTGTGGGGGGTACCAAGTAAGATCTACAGAGACAATGTGTTTTATGATTGTATGTAATAAATCGTCATCACGACCGCCTCACCACTGGTAGTGGGTTGTGTACCAAGTAAGATCTACAGACACAATCTGTTTTATGATTGTATGGAATAAATCCTTCATCACGACCGCATCACCACTGATAGTGTGGGGGGTACCAAGTAAGATGTACAGAGACAATCTGTTTTATGATTGTATGTACTAAATCCTTCATCACGACCGCCTACCACTGATAGTGGGTTGTGTACCAAGTAAGATCTACAGACACAATCTGTTTTATGATTGTATGTAAAGACAATTTGTTTTATGATTGTATGTAATAAACCCTTCATCACGACCGCCCCACCACTGATAGTGTGGGGTGTACCAGAGACAATCTGTTTTATGAGTGTATAAAATAAATCCTTCATCACGACCGCATCACCACTGATAGTGTGGGGTGTACAAAGTAAGATCTACAGAGACAATCTGTTTTATGAGTGTATATAATAAAACCTTCATCACGACCGCCTCACCACGGATAGTGTGGGGTGTACCAAGTAAGATCTGTGGGAGGTGTACCAAGTAAGATCTACAGACACAATCTGTTTTATGATTGTATGGAATAAATCCTTCATCACGACCGCCTCACCTCTGATAGGGTGGGGTGTACCAAGTAAGATCTACAGACACAATCTGTTTTATGATTGTATGGAATAAATCCTTCATCACGACCGCCTCACCTCTGATAGGGTGGGGTGTACCAAGTAAGATCTGTGGGGGGTGTACCAAGGAAGATCTACAGAGACAATTTGTTTTATGATTGTATGTAATAAACCCTTCATCACGACCGCCCCACCACTGATAGTGTGGGGTGTACCCAGTAAGATCTACAGAGACAATCTGTTTTGTGGTTGTATGTAATAAATCCTTCATCACGCCCGCCTCACCACTGATAGTGGGTTGTGTACCAAGTAAGATCTACAGAGACAATGTGTTTTATGATTGTATGTAATAAATCCCTCATCACGACCGCCTCACCACTGATAGGGTGGGGTGTACCAAGTAAGATCTAAAGAGACAATCTGTTTTATGATTGGATATAATAAATCCTTCATCACGACCACCTCACCACTGATAGTGGGAGGTCTACCAAGTAAGATCTACAGAGACAATTTGTTTTATGATTGTATGTAATAAACCCTTCATCACGACCGCCTCACCTCTGATAGGGTGGGGTGTACCAAGTAAGATCTAAAGAGACAATCTGTTTTATGATTGGATATAATAAATCCTTCATCACGACCGCATCACCACTGATAGTGTGGGGTGTACCCAGTAAGATCTACAGAGACAATCTGTTTTAGGATTGTATGTAATAAATCCTTCATCATGACCGCCTCACCACTGATAGTGGTAGGTGTACCAAGTAAGATCTACAGACACAATCTGTTTTATGATTGTATGTACTAAATCCTTCATCACGACCGCCTACCACTGATAGTGGGTTGTGTACCAAGTAAGATCTACAGACACAATCTGTTTTATGATTGTATGGAATAAATCCTTCATCACGACCGCATCACCACTGATAGTGTGGGGGGTACCAAGTAAGATCTACAGAGACAATCCGTTTTATGATTGTATGTAATAAATCGTCATCACGACCGCCTCACCACTGATAGTATAGTGGGTTGTGTACCAAGTAAGATCTACAGACACAATCTGTTTTATGATTGTATGGAATAAATCCTTCATCACGACCGCCTCACCACTGATAGTGGGGTGTGTACCAGGTAAGATCTACAGAGACAACCTGTTTATGACCGTATGTAATACTTCTTCATTCCACATGTGCAAATAGGGACAAAGTAACCCTCACTACCATCTCATTAAAGTGAAAAATTGACCAGCAAGTAGTGATTGTATTTTAGTTTTCCAATATGTAATAAAATATAAACTGTATTTATTTTTCAACAATTGCGAAACAATTTATTACAACTTATATTAATCACTCTTGTTGGCCCGGATGTTAGCGTGTGGGGGGTCTTAATGTGGGTGGAAACCCGAGTACCAGGTAAAAACAGGTGGTCGGGCAGGTGAACTCATACCCTTTCATGTCCAATCGAAAAATCGAACCCTGGCTGCCTTGGTGAAAGGCGAGTGTGACATCCACTGTGCCATCCGACCACCCTAATATATATTGTACACTTAAAGCACATATACTTTACCAGTCGTTTGTTGGATGAAGGTGATAAAGTACATAGTATACTAGTCATTGAAAGATCACATGGAAACATTTGACTGGTTGTGACAAATGAAGCTGTATACTAGATCGTGATTGATTAACAGATAGTACGGACCTTACCTCTCTACAATGTCTTTTATGTGTTGTATTTATTCATGGTCTACACATGTTAGACAATTTGGATAGATTGTAGGTTTACATGTATATTAATCTGTGTCTTAGTGTAATTTTACAAAATAAATCTTTATCAACCACATTACCTAGCTTACCATTTATATATGTGTTGTGACAGTGTTTACGATGGTTTTAACTTAATACTTATATATCTGTTGTTACAGCGTTTGCGGCCATCCAGGGTGCTGCCTCTACAACTGAAGAATTTCAGGGATGTTTGCGTGACTTTAAGTTTGGGCGGGTGGAAGGGGATACACCTCTTATAGACTGGTTTACCATACCCATTGACCGCAACATCCACAAGGCCGGTTGTCCTGTATGATAGTTAAGTGTCTATAGCCTGTGTACTTTGTATTCCCTATTACAACAGTTGGTTCTGGTCAAGGAAGGCAGCTGATGAAGTAGATCTGATGTTAGTCCACTCATTCTGAAAAGCATGGAATCTAAACATGATATGATATCATACACTCCAGTATCGGACACAATAGAGAATGAAGGACAAAACAGTTCTCAAGGTTGTACTGACCTTCAAAACAACATAACGTAAAATGAAGGAAAGAAAGTTCTCGGCCACACCAGGGAGTGCTGACTTTCATTGCCTCTATAAATCCTTCGATCATCAACTCAACACCTGTAGATCTTAGATAGAGACTGGCTTTGCTATGTCGTCAGAAATGGGATTGTTTATAAATTACCTGTATCCATTGATACTGATTATGTTTGGCGATTACGGTTACACAAGAGATCTTGCTGTCGTTTGAAATAAGAGTTACGATATGACAAAAAGGAAGATGGCAGATATATGATATATATGTCCTATAATGCTATGTACATGATGTATTATTTTATACATGTATGTGTAATGTATTAGGTGTCAATGTAAAAGTATTTTGTATTTATTCCATAGCAAATTGTTTAGCCGTAAATAGAGTATGATTGACATCAAGTGGCCAGTAACGAACTTTGTGTGTTATCTCAGGTAAAATTACCACACCTGTGCTATTTACCAGGTATGTGTCATTACAAATGTACTGTGTTTAAGCCTAGATGAACTATTAATACCTGTGTTTATCCGGTATAAAACCATTATATATTTTATCTATTAAAAAAAAAGAATAAAAAAATGTTTTGGTCAACTGGTGCTTGATTTTTGAACTCATGAAGCTATAATTTTGAGAGCTGTGCAATTTTACATTGAATATGATCTATCGTGTACCTTTTAGATCTTATTGTATGAAAGGTTTTACAAAAGGGTCCTGCTAGAAGTTCATATACAAAATTATCTGCACACCTGTGTATTTCTGTAATATTACACACTTTTAACTTATTTCACATGACTTGGCTGGTCACTGTAACGGGTATATACTATAAGGGTGTTATAATCCATGCTTAGCCTCGTCTGATACAGCTTAACCAGGTCACTGTAGTATGGTATAGACAGTAGTCATATAATATTCCTTGTTAACCGTTTTCTAACACAACTTGGCCTGGTGAGATACGACCATGTGACTACAGTATATACATACTTAGCCTCTCAAACCTGACGTCAGCAGATAAAGGTATAATGTCCATTAACCTTGACTCATATGACTTGACAAGGTAATTATAGTAGAGGATTTAAGGTAAAAGTGTAAGATTTCCACGCGTGGTTTCCTAACATGAGTTGGCCAGGTGAATTATGACCAGGAGTCCCTTACCTGAGAATCCCATCAATAATTGACAGCCAGATGATCAGGCGTGGGTAGCCAGTCTGGGAGGATGAGGATTAATTAATTAGAATACTCCTGTCCGACATGTCAATGTTTGCATGCAAACTGATCATGCAGCCTTGACTGTTATATGGTAAAGTACCCCATCATACACCTGATCGTCAGTAAACCATTCACATTAGTTGATGTTGGGATTAAGGTATGTTTGTCCAAATACCAGGACAACACAATTAAGGATCTTAAATTATGATTTTTCTCTTCTTATTATATAGTATATTGTATAAAGAGATACATATATCCTAAATCTTTTTTTTTTAAAGGACAAAACCTGCAAAGTCTGAATTTACGTATTTTACGTATTTAATACCCCGTTTTATAGCCTGACCTTGACCTGAGCAGTAGTACTTTTACTGACTTTTCAGATACCTACCTCAAATGTAGCCTAAGTTGTGAATAATATACATTGGAAACTGTACTCAAGATTACTGTACTTTAAAAAAAGTTAATAATTATTATTATGGAGCTAGAGATCTTTATTGATTTAGTTAATGTGAAAGTTTAGACTGATCACCAGTGTACCACTGGCCGAGGCAGTAACAAGCCACTAGATGGTGATACCACTGGCCGAGGCAGTAACAAGCCACTAGATGGTGATACCACTGGCCGAGGCAGTAACAAGTCACTAGATGGTGATATCACTACCGAGACATAAGAAATGAATTAAGTTGTTATTCCAATTCTACTTTGGACATTTGATTAGTGATAATTACTGATTCCTAAGAAATTTTACTCGCTTTTTCCAAGGTATGTCTGTTAACTCTAAAATCACTGAAAAAGGATCAATTGATATATGTCAAGTTGTGTTATAAAGTTTATTTGAATTAAAATATCCACATTACTTAAATTAGTATATACTGTTGCCTTACATTATCATATCTCAAATGTTGTGTAACTTTTATCATTATATGTAAGTTTCTGTCTCCACATTTCTAACAATCTTTATAAGTCCAGTATCATATAACCAAGACTGTTTCCTCATGTTCCAAACGGTTGGACCAGACTTGTTCGTATATGAAATAGGGATAGACCTAGTGTTTCGATGTTGTTTTTGGGCAAGCCTTGGCAAAGGCCTGCAGTAACATTTGCATGTGCATCAGGTTTTACTCCTAAAACATAACATTTATAAAATGGTTGGTCTACATAAAAGAACAGGCCCATGTATATACTCTAAGGGGAGATAACTGCACCTATCTCCTCTGTCGTGTTGCTGAATTATCATCATCATGTTATATATATGCATTGATCTGAATAAAGATTTGTTATTTATATAAACATGTAAGTTGTTGTAAATTTTTGTACAAATTATTTAATTTAGAATATGATGCGAGTACCAGGAGTAATTATTAAGTACATTGTATTAATTTTAAAACCCAGAAATATAGACATCACTCAGTCTACCAATCAAACCAAAGCAGAGATAATATTTAGATACAATCACATAATGTATTGGAAAATTTTATAAAATACCAAAACCATGTACCCAGTAATATATTCTAATAAGGTGTGTAACTTCAGGGCTTTTTAATGTCCTCTCCATTTCCAACCCCAAAAATTGTATTTAGTATATTTTAAAAAAATGTAGCTCAGGAAATTGATTGATGTATCTCCTGTTACTTAGCATTGTACACTTGTAAAGTTCTCATATCATACTTTTATCTTAATTAAAACCAGTTTTTAGTACACAAATACCTGATATATTAAATTTGTGTCTATGTTAATTATTTTTGTAAAGTGTTTAAACATATTCATGTAAATGATAGCTGTGTTTTGTATACATTTTGTATTTATGTTTGAACTTTACAAACACAATATTTGAAATTGATTATTCTAATTATTCATTAATTGTATATATAAACATATATCACTTAACGATAAAATTGTATGCATGAATTTTTAAGTTAACTTTTAAAATGATTATTTTATTATATGTCATTACAGATCATTCACTTGTTGTGATTTTTTCTGTTGTCATTCAATATTTGTTATAACTGTGGCATTGTCTGTAGTATTGGTGACTCCAGCAGTGTCCGTAGTGTTGGAAACGTCCCTGCCATATTTAGTATACAACTGTACTATTTCACCTATCATCCACATCCATTTATGGTCAGATCTCCGTCCACAAAACCAGAATTAAAGATATAAGTTACCTAACAGTGACATGAAGACTTAAGGATGTATGCTACCTAACAGTGACATGAAGACTTAAGCAGATATGTAGATGTTTAGGATAAGGTAAGGATGTATGCTTCCTTACTGAGACATAGAAACTTAAGTGTATGTGTACATCCTTCAAGTCTCCAAGTCACAATAAGTTAGCATGTATGCTACCTAACAGTGACATGAAGACTTAAGGATGTATGCTACCTATAACAGTGGCATGAAGACTTAAGGATGTATGCTACCTTACAGTGGCATGAAGACTTAGGGATGTATGCTACCTTTCAGTGGCATGAAGACTTAGGGATGTATGCTACCTTACAGTGGCATGAAGACTTAAAGATGTATGCTACCTTATTGTGACATTGAGACTTAAGCATATAATCATGCTACTTTATTGTGACATTGAGACTTAAAGGTATATGTTACCTCAGTGTGACATTGAGACTTAAGCATATAATTATGCTACCTCATTGTGACATTGAGAATTAAGGATGTATGCTACCTTATTGTGACATTGAGACTTAAAGGTATATGCTACCTCATTGTGACATGCATCTAATTTTCACACTAAGAAACTTATCAGACAGATTTGATAAATGATAATTTGGAATTGTTTGATAAACGATATGTAAAAGAAACCCCTATATTCAGTAAATAATACTCTGATGGTAGACTCTGAATTTTTAGATAATGACACTTAGCTATGTCAAGGAAGATAAATCTGTTAACAAAAACAAATCAAAGGTATTATGTGTATGTTAGTGTATATTCTTAGCAACATTTTGACCATCACACTCTGATAAGACTGATAAGATAAGGAGAGAATGGAATCGTCATTTTTTCAGAATTATTATTTTTTCTTTTGAACGGTCATAAATCATGAGTCAGTATGTGACTACTAGTATTCAGAAGAAGATGAAATATCTAGATAAGTATCAGACAATGAAGTCAAGAATTTCTGGAGAAAGATCAGGATAGAATTGTTGAATACAAATTGGAGGATGTCAGCATGCATATAAGAGAGTATTATTATTATTTGATGTAGAATGTATATGTGTATATATGGTAATTCATGTGTAATTATGCCTATAGCTAAGGAATGCTGATACAATGCCATTTAGCAAGCCATATCCCAGTGACATTAGTCATTCTGAAAATCTGCTGTACAAGTCAATGTTTTTGTTTAAACAAAGTTTTCATTCATTGATTTTTTATTTTGGTACAAAAGAATGGCTTTGACAGCACCTGTGTTAGTTTCAGGAGGGAATATTTGTTAACTTTGAAAGGTAAAATATACCAGTGCAATATATTTGTGTGTATATATGTTTTTATATTGTGTTGAAGTAACAACAAGAGATGCCCGTCGTCAGAGAATCTACATAAACACAATCTGATTACTTCGGTAGATAAGTACAAGATCTATTGGTCAGAATAAGTAAAAGTGTTGCCAGTTGCCTACAGAGAGAAAGCATTAAGTATTGTACCAGTTAGTAAGCACAGCATTTCTGCAATTTTTGAAATAAATCAAAATTTAATTATTTAATGATGGTATTTTACTGTTTCAAGAAATTTGCAATAAAAAACAGCCATTAGATGTTTAGGTACATGTAGTTAAATTGTCTACCTGTGTATACCTGTATTACTACTTCTGTATACCTGTATTACTACTTCTGTAAACCTGTATTACTACTTCTGTATACCTGTATTTCTACCTGTGTATACCTGTATTACTACTTCTGTATACCTGTATTTCTACCTGTGTATACCTGTATATACATGTAGTATTACCTGTGTATACCTGTATATACATGTAGTATTACCTGTGTACACCTGTATTACTACTTTTGTATACATTTATTTCTACCTGTGTATACCGGTAATACTACTTTTGTATACCTGTATTTCTACCTGTGTATACATGTAGTATTACCTGTGTACACCTGTGTATACATGTAGTATTACTTGTGTACACCTGTATTAGATGAGGCATAGCTGATTGGTACAAGGAAATGTTATTTAGGTCCGTGATAGGCATCAGTGTAGTCAGTTGTAAGACACAAATTCACTCCCAATAAAACAATACTATAATGTAATATTGTGTTGTCTTTTCTGTCACACATTTACAACTTCACCACTCGATGGCCACTTACTAGGTTGGAGATTAATTGTCAAAGTTACAGGGATAAAATATTTTGAAATCTGTCCTCAATAACCAAGGGTTGTGCAGTCATCCTGTTTCCTTTTTTGAAAAATGACATTTATTTACCATTCAAATTATCTATTCTTTTAAAAGTTCCAAAGTGCATGGGGTAATGATATTTGATGTTTATCTTGGAGATTTGATGGAGTATCCTGTTTTGAAATAATATTATGCAGACCTGCATGCAAGGTTGTAGCTTGCTTGGATAAATTACCTTCAAAATTGTTCAAATGAATGATGGCATTGGTCCACTTTCAATATTAATGTTGTTTCAACACATTTCTTAAAAGCAGATCAATTCATTGAATGAGGGTCTAGAACTCAAGATAGACATTAAATAACTAAGTGATTGGTATCAAGACTCAAGATGCATATGTTCTAAAGAAGAAGATATCGTTTTTGAAATATTTAACACTTCTGATACCCTTAATTGATTCCAACGAAGTTGACATCGGACACCCAATCAAGTGTCAAATAAAATAGCACGACTCCATCCCAAGGCTTCATTGACATTTCACTTAATTTCTTCCCACAGCAAAAGGACACTTAAAATGTGAAATACTGTACATCATTTTGTTAAGAACTTTCAAGAGATTAGGGTCTGGTTCTCTCCTCTTAAAAACCAAGAAGACGAGATGAGCGATACATGCCCCACATGCCTATTGTTTTCGATTGTTTGGTTGTTAAGTAACTAACTGTTGACTGGTTGTCATTGGTTTCGTCGGTCACACCCAAAAATAAATTCAATACGATTGATTGATAAATGACGAATCATCCATGTACCAAAGTCCAGCGTGGAAGTATTCCTAGATACAAGAGAAACCAATAGCTTGGAGTATATAAAAAATCTAGCCTTGCCAATTACTTTAGAATAGTCACGACATATGGTATTTTATCTCTGAATTAAATCAAACACATGCAAATAGATTGTGTGACCTTGACATCTTTTCGATGTGACATGTACTAAACACCAAGGAAACTTAAGTTGTTGAATCTTAACGAAGTATTGATCACGGCCTGTTGTACGCGTCTTGTCCTTGTTATTGAAAGACACATGGTCCAAGGTTCGGCCCGTTCTATACAGGGCACCTTGGTGGTCCAAGGTTCCGCTCGTTCTATACAGGGCGCCTTGGTGGTCCAAGTTTTCTCCCTTGCTATACAGGGCCACTTGGTAGTCCAAGGCTCCGCCAGTTCTATACAGGGCACCTTGGTGGCCCAAGGTTCCGCCCGGTCTATACAGGGCCCCTTTGTGGTCCAAGGTTCCGACCGTTCTATACAGGCCCACTTGGTGGTCCAAGGGGGCCTGTATCGAACGGGCTGCACCTTGGACCACCAAGAGGCCCTGTATAGAACGGTCAGAACCTTGGACCACGAAGTCGCCCTGTATAGAATGGACGTAACCTTGGTCCACCAAGTGGGCCTGTATAGAACGGTCGGAACCTTGGACCATCAAGGGGCCCTGTTTAGAACGGGCGGACCCTTGGACCACCAAGGGCCCCTGTATAGAACGGGGGGAGCCTTGGACCACCAAGTCGCCCTGTATAGAATGGGCGGAACCTTGGATCACCAAGTGGCCCTGTACAGAACGGGTGGAACCTTGGACTACCAAGTGGCCCTGTAAAGAACGGGCGGAACCTTGGGCCACCAAGGTGCCCTGTATAGAACGCGCAGAACCTTGGACCACCCAGGGGCCCTGTATAGGACGGGCGGAACCTTGGATCACCAAGTGGCCCTGGATAGAACGGGCGGAACCTTGGTGGTCCAAGGTTCCGCCCGTTCTATACAGGGCCACTTGGTAGTCCAAGGTTCTGCCCGTTCTATACAGGGCGACTTGGTGGTCCAAGGTTCAGCCCGTTCTATACAGGCCCCCTTGGTGGTCCAAGGCTCCGCCCGTTCTATACAGGGCCCCTTGGTAGTCCAAGGTTCCGCCCGTTCTGTACAGGGCCACTTGGTGGTCCAAGGTTCTGCGCATTCTATACAGGCCCCCTTGGTGGTCCAAGGTTCCGCCTGTTCTATACAGGGCCACTTGGTGGTCCAAGGTTCCGCCCGTTCTATACAGGGCCGCTTGGTGGTCCAAGGTTCCGCCCGTTCTAAACAGTGCCCCTTGATGGTCCAAGGTTCCGCCCGTTCTATACAGGGCCGCTTGGTGGTCCAAGGTTCCGCCCGTTCTAAACAGTGCCCCTTGATGGTCCAAGGTTCCGCCCGTTCTATACAGGGCACCTTGGTGGGCCAAGGTTCCGCCCGTTCTATACAGGGCCCCTTGGTGGGGCAAGGTTCCGCCCGTTCTATACAGGGCCCCTGGGTGGTCCAAGGTCCCGCCCGTTCTATACAGGGCCCCTTGGTGGCCCAAGGTTCCGCCCGTTCTATACAGGGCCCCTTGGGGGTCCAAGGTTCCTCCCGTTCTATA